ATAGTAATAAAGTTGGATATTTTTTATATCCTGTCATGTCCATGTTTGATATGAACGGCATATTAATGTAAATGAACTTGAAAATGTACAAACGGAGTTGATAAGAATTTTTCACTATCCACTGTTAAAGAAGCTACAAATGCACAAGCAGATATAACATTTATCAATAATCCATGATTAGTGTACAATCTAAATTTTAAGCAACAAATACGCTCATCGTAGCATTTTAGAGTTACAGGTTCGATTACGACAGTAAATGTAAGTATGCCGCAGCAACATCGATTAGTAGATTAGCTAACGAATGCTAAATTTAGTAAGAGAGTAAAAACATAATTATTCACCTTCGCGATTTCGAAAAGTATAATGATATGATTTTCTCACCTATTTCTTTTTTATTTACTTATTATATTTTATTTTTTCCCTCTCTTTTTTATTTATTTAATTTTTATTCTTTTATTCCCTTCCATCATTTCTAAATAAAATTTTATTAAATATATACTAATATATATCTAAAATATGTAATAAATATAAATACTAAATATATATCTAGAATATATATTATAAGATAGAAATGAATTCAAATATATAAATAAAAATGGGAATAAATAAATATGAAATTTTTTGTTGTTAATTTTAATTTTTGTTATTCAAGTATACCTTGAATATAATAAATCCTACCGACCTTTATTTTACCTCCCCATGAGCTATTTTCATCTAGTTTATATCCCTTTATATCTTACTTTATCACGTCTTAGGTAGGAACCAAACACAGGATCCAGAATTTTATTCTGGCTAGCAAACCTAGCCTTAGGGAATAGGAATGATAATCAATGTTTAGATTATCACGTTCGGTATCTCTTGGAATATGAGGGTACTCTCTTCTTCCGCCGCATCACTTCTGTCTTGAATCCTCTTGCTGCAAAAAGTTGAATGAACTGTTTGTTCACATTGCTAGATAAGACTCTTAAGTTGCGACGTGGTCAGTACCTGTATCGTTCAATGAGCTTTGGAAACCTAAATGTGATTGCAAGAACATGTAGTCAAACCAGCACAAAACAAAGGTGGAGTGTTCATTGATCTCATCTGTTTGTGCAACAAGTTGAGATCTACTTGTCCAGCACAGTGCAGGTGCATGACCTGTGAGATGAGAAAGCATTCAACCAAACAAGTGTTCCACTCAAGTGGACCTACACAGAACTGTATAGAAAAGTAATGGAGATTCGAGTTTCGTTTGTTCGAAGGAAAACTATTATTTGGAAAATGTTTTCCGACTTTCCGGTGGTTTTAGATGTTGGAAAGCTAATCGATTTACGGAAAACGTTTTTAATGGACCAAAAAGAACAAGCTTACATTGGGGAAAAACAACTTCTAAGTCACAGCATGGTCAGTTCATGTATCTTGAATCATCCTGCTGCAGCAAGTTGAATGAACTCCTTGTTCACATTGCTGAATAAGATTCTAAGTTGCAACGTGGTCACTACCTGTATCATTCAATGAGCTCTGAAAACCTAAAAGTGATTGCAAGAATGTGTTGTCAAACCAACTAAAACAAAGGTGTTGTGTTCATTGATCTCATCTGTTTGTGCAACAAGTTGGGGATCAACTTGTCGAGCACAGTGCAGGTGCCTGACCTGTGAGATGAGAAAACATTCAACCAAACAAGTGTTACACTCAAGTTGACCTACACAGGAATTTATAGAAAAATAGTGGAGATTTGCGGCTTGTTTGTTTGAAGAAAAATTTGTTCTCTAGAAAATTGTTTTTCAACTTTCAGGAATTTTGAATGACGGAAATCTAATCTATATAAGGAAAACGTTCTTAATGGACCCGAAAAAACAAGCTTGGATTGGGGAAAAGCTTCTCCTCTTGGTAAAAAGGAATCACTTTCCTTAAATCACCAAAATAAATGAAAACTAAGCTTTTTCTCGAAAATGGTTTTCATAAAGAAAAATTTCATTTATCGTAAAGGTTTCAGCAAAACAAAGTCATCCTTGATATGCATCTTCCAATGTGATTGATCTCTCCCTATAACTAACCTTCAAATCTTCAAGTTATCGGAGTGCTGCATTGATCTTCGACTAACTTTACGAATTCTACCAAAAGTGATCTCTCGTGGACTCTGCATCCTTCCATGGAAGTGATGTGATTCTTGCTTTTTCTTCCTTTTTTTTTGGCCCCTCTTATTCTTATTCTCTTTCTTGCACAAGACAAGCTCTTTTTAGCCCACTTTGCATTATCCTTCTCTTTTCCCATAGATCGACCGAACCTGATAAGAATTCCAGATCTCTTTGCTCCCCATTACCGAACCTTTCATTACACCTGCCCAAATTACATTACCAAGTCCGAAAGAACAACGTGCACGGATCTCGCAGCTGTTAAAAAAGGGTGTGCTTTAAACTTAAATAGCTTCTGGGGGGGAAGCTGTAAGTCATTTTCTTGATCAGAATCTTCTTGTCTGAACATTAAATTTTAAATAATATCCTGCAAATGGCTTAGCGAATCCATCTTAGCTTTCTTTTTATGGAGTTTGTGGCCCTGCTTTTTATCAGCATGATGCTGTGACAAACCATCACTTTGTGAGGTGCTACTCATGGGTCACGGCATCTGTTGGCTAGTCAAGAATTAGTAATTTATAGATCAGATCCTTTCACAGCTCGCTTTTGTGCAAAGTCATATTAGGAGAAGCATCCTTTTTTAGTGTGCAATAATTGGGAACTTTTTTCTTTCTTTTGGATCAGAAAGTCCCGGAACTTCATTTTCAATTACGTGCGATGGATCCGCACTCCACGTATCCATGGGGTTCCGATCTGGCCACCTCTCAGGGAATTCATTTTGCATTTACAGTTAGTTAGACTCATGCCTAACTCCTACTTAATACGAAGTCATGTGGTGAGTGATAAGATGTGTTTTCTCCATGTTTGCACTCAGCAATCACGTGAAGAATGACGAACTTTGGTTGAATCATATTGCAGATAAGAGGGGAGCGATATGGCCAACTTACATGAGCTTGTCTCTCCTCTCTTTAAAACCGAAAGAAACACAAACATGTGAACTCGCACGTACGCGATTGGACATAGGACAGCCTCCGAAGTGATAGTGACTTCAAGTAAGTGCATAGATATTTAGTATGTCGGTAGGGTTAAGGATATATGGGTATTATTGTGGTGGTTCCTGTGCACGCAACGCTGGATCGATTCTCCAATAGTCCTCAGCTTTAGTCCACTAAGACAGCGTTTAAACTTTTAAAAAAGATCTCTTAATCCGTGATTTGATCACCTTTTGCCCATTACTTGTTGTTGCCTTGTTGGGAACTGCGAGATGCCCACTCAACTGTGTTCATGAGAGAACCACCCTGAGGAGTTCAGATTAAATTCTTCATCCAAATTACGAATTAAGTGGTATCCTGTTCTTGTGCTCTATTTTCTGGGTCGATTTTAATATCACCTCAGGGCAGATTTTATTGATAAAGCCGCGATTTTCATCTATGCCATGATCGATCACATTGAGAATGTGGGCTCGAATTGGCATTTTTTATGAGTAATGTGTCATGAAAAAAAATGGCTTTTATTTATAGACAAATTACCATGACATCCTCTGTTTTTTAGGGAAAGGAAAAACATGTTTGTTGTCTTGTCATTCGTGCTTTCAAAGCAAGTGGCAAAGGACCCAACATTCCTAGCCATTGAATTTGCCTGTCTTCCTAAGAATCCTTAAGAAGATCAGAACTGGCCTGCCCTCAGGTTTCGTCTTGAGAATACTTGAAAGTGTTGTCTTCCTGACAGGTTGTGTATCCTTGTAAAAGTGTCTTGTCGTGGCCTGGAAATTTGTTTTGGCCACAGGTTTTTTTCCTTCCTCCAATGATCAGAAGAAAACGCAGTTTCACTTGGTTTGGTGGTCCCATCTGTGAGAAGTAGATATCAACTCGAAAAGGCATCAAGTCATCACCTGTTTTTGTTGCTACACGTTTTGTTTTCGTGGCCAGCATTATTTCCATTTTTTGACTTGCTCGATTGTTACTGTGACTGTCTCAAAACTCAGGGATGTTACAAGGGTTTACCCTGCAAATGTAGAAGGTAAATTGTTGTTTCAAAACGGAGGTTTATGCAATCAAGTATAAAAACTCATTATTAAGCCAATCCATCGGGACATTTCCATTTGCGACTAATTTAAGTCTAATTCTTTTTTAATCAATTTGGGTATTGCTAATTAGGTCCTCAATCTTTTGCTTATAAGCTAAGGTCAAAGAAGGATTCACTTGATGCATCTTTCGCAGAGAAAGCCAATGCGACTCGGAGACTCGTATCTCTGCATACTCCTAGTTCTTAAGGATGCAATTAGCTCATTTCACACTCCGACCCACAATATTTTTTCTCGCATAATATGGCTCTAGTGGTATATATAACAATACCTGTTTGCATACTAAGAGTTTATATATAAGAGGGAAGTGGGTGGGATGAGTTCAAGCGGCTGATTACATGAATCCAGTAAGGAATAAACAAATGAACAACTGAAGAGGAGGTTCAGAGGCACCAAAACACAACAATTAGTTGGTGGGTTTTGGCATCCGAGGAAGAGAACCTTGTTCTTGATAGGCCGTGCTTTGATTTTATATCTGTACTATATATGGGGTAAAGAGTATAAACAAGTGTTTCATGCCAGCTTTAAGTACTGGTTTTGGTTACTATTGGGTCAATATCAGGTCTCCAGTCTTGTTGCATCTATTGCTCTGGAAGTGACAAAATATAGGACTAAAAACCCCCCCTCCACCAAGTGACTAAAAATCAAAGGGATTTTTCAATTTGGGGTATGATTTGGATGGAGAGAGAGAGAGAGAGTGAAAGGAATGACGCAACAGTTAAAACAATCAGATTCCAATATTTGTTCACGATCTCCCCAATGAACGGCCTTGGCTTTTCCCTCCTCTCTCTCTCTCTCTACCCTCCTTTATTAAACTCACCAGCTCATTGCTTTCTCTTCCTCAATCAACTAGCCATCTCTCTCTCTCTCTCTCTCTCTCTCACAGAAGAATAGAACTGGTTTTGGAAAACCCACACTAGTTACAATATCACAAAAATGTCAAAGTGTTGCATGCCAATGCCTCCTCTTCAGCCTCCATTACCAATGGGGGGCCTGATGAAAAATGAGAGCGAACATTGCCCAGTTTTTTATGCTTCCATTCTTCAACACCAAGCAAACATACCCTCCCAATTCGTTTGGCCCGACGAAGAGAAGCCGTCTTTGACCGAGGCACCGGAACTCCAAGTCCCCCTGGTTGATTTAGGGGGCTTCCTCTCTGAAGACCCGACCGCCGTGTCAAAAGCGTCTTGGCAAGTTAATGATGCATGCAGGAAACATGGGTTTTTCCTAGTTGTAAATCACGGGGTCGATCCAAGGCTCATAAACAAAGCTCATGAGAATGTGGATTTCTTCTTTAGGATGCAACTCTCAATGAAGCAAAGAGCTCAAAGGAAGCCCGGCGAGCACTGGGGCTACGCGAGTAGCTTCACCGGCAGGTTCTCCTCCAAACTTCCTTGGAAGGAAACGCTTTCGTTCTGCTATTCTGCCGATGGTCAATCATCGGAAACTGTCGAGAAGTACTTCTTGAATGTCATGGGAGAGGATTTTCGGGAGTTCGGGTAAGAAAAACTTCGCGTTCTTACATTCTTTAGTTTCATCCGACTCATTCTCGAAGCACTTTGGAGGCACGTGTCAATTCTTTTCGCAAACAAACTAATTAGGATAACCAATTTTAGCTGTATAACAAGCGGTGCTAAGTCATCGGATATAATGGAGCGAACGGTAAGAGGGTGGCATTCCAATCTTCTATTTACACTAGATAAGAAATCATCTTCTTCCTTTCTTGGTTTTGTTCAGGGAGACATGCCAGGAATATTGTGAAGCAATGAGCAACCTCTCCCTAGGAATCATGGAGCTCCTAGGAACTAGCCTAGGAGTCGGGCGGTCACACTTCAGGGAATTCTTCAAAGGGAACGAGTCAATAATGAGACTAAACTACTACCCGCCTTGTCAGAAGCCTGACCAAACTTTAGGAACTGGCCCCCATTGCGATCCCACCTCTCTAACCATTCTCCACCAGGACGAAGTGAGCGGCCTCCAAGTGTTTGTTGACGGAAAGTGGTACTCAGTCAGCCCGAACCCCGACGCCTTCGTCATCAACATCGGCGACACATTCATGGTACATAATTTAAGCCTACTGACTTAATCGTGTTCTAAGTGAAAGGTTATTAATGTGCCTAAGTGAAGTGTATGTGGCCTTGTGCTTGTCCAGGCTCTATCAAATGGGATCTACAAGAGTTGCTTGCACAGGGCAGTGGTGAATGATCAAGCAGTGAGGAAGTCTCTGGCTTTCTTTCTGTGCCCGAGAAGGGACAAGGTGGTGACCCCACCAAGTCAATTGGTTGACAAACAGGACTCAAGAAGAATATACCCAGACTTTACATGGCAAACTTTCCTAGATTTCACTCAGAAGCACTATAGGGCTGACACAAAAACCCTTGATGCCTTTTCCGATTGGCTTCGAGAAAGAAGCAATTGATGGAGGCGCAAAACCAAACTTTTCCGAATATAAGCAGCCTTTTTCTCTTCTTTTCTCTTCTCGTTGTGCTAGTTGGGAGTACCTTCAAGTATGAACACATATATGCTGTACAGTGCTTATGTTTTGCAAGAAAATTTATGCCTTCGGCTGTGGCATGTGAAGAACTTTTGTATGGCTTCCTATTAAAATCGTCTTCTAGTCGAATGAGCGTGCCATTTATTTCATGGTGCATGTCATGATCTGAAGAGAGTACAGTGAGTTGATTTACCCTTCCAAAGCAAAGAAGAAGATCCGTATCCACCGAACATCTCACGTCATATTCTGCAGTATATATTACGAGAAACGCCTCGGCAGCAGAAGACTAAAATTTCGAAGAACGTATGGAATCTGCGTGCTCTCGCAGAACAAGGAAACAAGAACTTGCACCATCCAGTACCTACGAGCAATACACCCCCGTTATAAACCCAAAGTAAACTGAGGGTCTCTCAGTAAAATTCTCCTTATACCTATAATACACGTACGTGCATGAATATTTCGCATAGAGCTTCCATTTCTCGCACTTTTGCTCAACTCAGAGAAAAATGCTCACTTTTTTTAAAGCCAAACGGTATATTCACGTATAAATACATATCTTATCGTACTCAGATAAAAATATTTCAATTTTTCACTTATTTCCCGTGGCTTTTTTACGAGTAAATTAATGACGTAACATGTCAAATCATCTTATATTCACAAAAATAAACATACTATTCTTTTGAATTCTCGTTAGCTAACCCAAAGCGGTGGTAGTATTCAGCAATTACATAATTATATTTCTCCAAGTCTTCCTATTTGAATGGTCCTATTCTAGCAACAAAGTTATCTTCTCATGTAAGATCCAATCGACATAATTTCTTGATAAGATCATTTTTAGATTCCATCGCGATAACGTTGAACTTTCTTCACGTACTGTTAACTAAGTTGCTGCGTATCGCTTTTTCCTGTGTATTTTGCCAATGGGGGAAAGAGGTAACACAGTACCTCGGAAGTGCTTCTTACTGGACATGTATCACTTCTGGGTCGATGTCGCTGGGCGACACGCTAAGATGGGTGGCGCGAGGGAATTCGAGTAGAATCAAGAGGAGATTTCGTGGGGCGACAATGGGACCGAGGAGATAAAAGAGGAAACTGGAAAAAGATGGAAACCGACTGCTGGAGTTCGAGAGTGGAGCAACAGAAAAGCACGACATGGAAGTTGATCTTGAAGCCTAGCCAAAGGACGCAAGGGCTTTGCCTTTTCTCTCTGTGAGAGAAAAGCGTGACTTGAAACTTGGTCGGAGGCACTTTTGGATGTTTGATGTTGATGGATATGGAGTGTCCTATTTCTGATGAACTGTCCAGAACTATGACAAGTTTGGGTTGGTCTATGTCATTCCTATCATGCAAATACTTACTTTTTATTGAGCTCCAAAGTGGGCACAACGGACCTATATGTAGGACCATTCCCTTTTGTAACACTTTTATAACATGATGACTTTACGACCTATAACATGCTAATCGACGTCTTTATACTCAATTACGCGAGCATATTGTAATGTTGCACATTATGACGGGTGTACTTCTTACTGTATCACATATGCAGTATAATTCGGCGACACCCTTCTATCATTCTCCACAAACATCACGTATCGATACACGATATAAGAAGATTCCATCCATCGAACGGATTGTCTTTGCCCTCTCGATGTTTTGAGAATACTTTCGAGAAACTACTTTTATTTTCTGAAGGGGTTATTTAGGTTTTCAATGAAGCATCGAATCCACCTCCGAAAGTATGAGCAAAACGAGAATCATTTGAGAAGTCTCGTTTAATCGGGAACTGATACAATTTGGAATACCAAATCACTCAAATCAACTCCATTTTCCCTCCGAAGGACAGGAAAATTATCCAAAAAGTCCTAAACCTATTGCACTTTTGCCAATTCAGTTCTAAACCTTTCAAGTTTGCCAATTGAGTCCTAAACCTTTACACTTCTTGCCAATTGAGTCCATCCGACCAATTTTGGCCGGAAATCGCTGCCATGGATGCCAGCCGGCTATGTGGCGCTAATGTGGACATTTTTGAATAATATTTTAATAATTTTTTGAATTTTTTATTTTTTTTCCTTTTCTTTATTTTTTTTTTTTGGTTTAGAGTTGGCCGGCGAGGGTGGCCGGCTGACCCTTGCCGGCTCTGGGCGAGGGCATCGCGACCTTCACCTGTGGCTGGCGAGGGTCGGCCGGCCAGCCACCCTCGCCGGCCAACTCTAAACCCAAAAAAAAAAAAACAGAGAAAAGGAAAAAAGAAAAAAGAAGAGAAAAACCACAAAAAAGTCAAAAAGTTATTAAAATATTATTTAAAAATTTCCTCGTCAGCGCCATGCGGCTGGCCAACATTCACGTCAGCGATTTTAGGTCAAAATTGGCAAAATTGACTCAATTGGCAAGAAATGTAAAGGTTTAGGACTCAATTGGCAAACTTAAAAGGTTTATGATTGAATTAACAAAAGCACAATAGGTTTAGGACTTTTTGAACAATTTTTCTGGACAGGACTCCCAACTTGAAAACACGATTACGAACTAATCACTCCACAATCAAAGAAGGGTTTTTCTTAGGGACCCCCAAGAAAATCCCATAAGTAGAGCGCATGAGATATGTAGTAGTAGAGTCACTTCAATTCAAAATCGAGAAGAGGTCCCGCCATCAACTTTTCTAAGATGGCACCAATCCACTGTTCCAACGCGACACGTTTCGAAGTTTCATTGGCGATCCAGTAGAGACACGAACCGGTGGGGCAAAGCACAAGATCATCAGCCAGAAAGATAGAACAGAAGAGATCCACTTTCGAGTCTCTTGACCCGTTGTCTTTAAGGAAAGACATGCGAGCGTCTTCTCCCAATGGCATAGGAAACAAGGTTCTGTCCTCTTGGATGGTAGTTGCACCATCTTCCATACATTCATCGTCTAAATGAATCCCCCATGCATGCAATCTGAATACATTCGAAGCATGGTGGTTGATGGGTATCATGTAAAGAGCAAAAACATCTTATTAGATTGAATAATCCAAGACGCGCTCAATCTCATGTTCCCCGATACACGCGATGATCGCTTCAAGATGCAGCGTCGCCGTGGCTCAACTGGGATGGAAGTCACGGAACATGTACCAGAATTTTACGCGATTGTGACCATAAACATAAGGGGACTACTTCCTTTCTTCTTTATATGAAGTCGCTTTCTCAGGTAGATCAAGTTAGTCTTCAACAGCAGATGTGCAAAGAATGGTGAAAATCGAATAGACGGGATCGTCACGCGAATTCTAGTCAGTTTCGAAACTTGAGATGCGCCCCATCACAGTATCCACCACTTATGAAGAATGGTGATGCTTTGATTTGAGCTGCATCATCTGTAATATTCGAGGAAATATTATGAATTCGAAAATACACCACTAATTGGCATATGCTTGTGAGAACTGTATCAAAGAAAGGAGGATGAAGATGAAATGTCTCTTTATTTTGACCTTTACAAACAGTGAGCTGAATTTACGTATACACTAAACGCTTCCATCTTTAATCATTACTTGGTTAAATTAATGTATGAGATATGTTGAATTGTTAAATAAAACGAAAAAAGTTACAGCATAATAAACTAAAGCTCGTGAACTTTGTCCTTATCGACATGTTGGCAAGTTCTTAGTGTTAAATTAAGTGAGGTTTAAATTAATTTAATTTTTATTCTTAGCAATAATTCAAATTTTGAAAACGATGTTCTACAATAAGTTTTAATGTTTTCTACTATTTATTTTATATATATATCGCAAGTTCAAATTAACAATAATTTTATTGTAACTTTGAGGTAACATGATTTATATATTCCTCATAGTCAAAAGCAGAAAATATAATGAATATGTATTTGAAATAAGCTATAATGTATCGAAATTTTATTTATTTTTTGACTCAATGAATTGAACTACTTGAGTAAAAAATGGTAATACTGATTGATTTTCAAAAATCTGTTGCCCAATATCATAATCTGCATCAAATATTTAGAACTTATGTGAATTTTGATATCCAAGGAAAAAGCTGTAGCACAACAAACAAAACCCTATGAACTTCATCACTATGAATAATCTTGAAATTAATTATCCCAATTATTTTTTTCTAATTATAAATGTTCAATTGGGTATTGGCTCGGGTCTTTTAACCATTGTTTAATCGGTTGAAACCGATTTTTCACTGTTGCATGCGAGTGTAAGTCACTAATTAATCTGATTCTAATTGCAGTAGAGTTTGGGAAGCACTGTATCAAACGGCGAAGCACGGTGTTATGGATCAGGCGAGGTTGACATGAAACTGCTTTTGAACCAATTGTGTTGTCCGGTGAGAGATTAACTACAGATTCGAGTCCTGATCTGTCGTATTAATCATCCGTAATCACGCGATTAATCAAGTCCACTGAAGTGCAGCTCATGCATGCACGTACGTACAAGTAAAGAACACAATAGAAACAACAAACGAAGGACTACAGAAACGCACACTTCCCACTTTTCACAATGCTATCGCCATGAGCTTTGTTTTTTGTGTTAATTAACTAAGCATTCGTTTAAGTCACTCTAATCGCTATCCGGGGTTTTCAAGACGGCCTGTAGCATCCTTAGAAAATTTACTTTTTTTAATTTTAATGGGCATCTTCACGTTTCATGCAAGACCGTGATTTTGTGGATAAACATGGAATCAAGGGGAAGGAGACAGTGGAAAAGACGAAGTTTAAGACTACAATGTTCCTTGAAAACACCTTCTGTTTGGTCCCTTCCAGAAATCTGGTATTGATCAGAATTTATTTTGTAAAGAGCTTCTTTGAACAAGTTAGGGCAGCATTGTATGGCCCATTCATGGACCATGGATAGCTATCAACCCCATTTTTGGTTCTCCTTCTTGGAGTGTCGATAAGATACACGTGTCACCAATCAGAGTCGTAACGGACAATAGTTTGAAGTCTGATTTGCTTAGTTCTACACATCAATGGTATGATTTCTGCACAAAGTGTTCCAGTCGAATTGTAGATTGGGAGGCTGTTTCCAGTTCAATCTTTAATCAGGCTTGAGAGTTTGCATTGAGATCTGGTGATTTGTACAGCTGCTAGTGATTAGTTTGGTTGGTGGGACTGAGAGAGATCGAGCGACTAATGTCGCGAAAAGAGATAATCTTTAATTATACCCCTGCGACGTGAAGGCTCTGCTAGTGATTCACAGGACGGAAATTATATAGCACGGGATGCAGATGGTGTTGAATCGGAGAGATGGAGTACAGATCTAAAGCATGAACCAAACAGCATCTAAATACCACTCTATCCGAGTCATTACCAAAAAAAAAGAGAACCGTCAAAACGTAATATGAAGAAGTTCCGGAACACAACATCAGAGCTAGAGGATTAGCTATGAAGAAGTTCCTGCCACGACATTAGCACATTTAGATGCTACGACCGTACAATCAAGAGGATTAGCTGCTAAAGGTATCTATCCAGCAGTAGATCCTTTAGATTCAATGTCAACTATGCTCTAACCTCGAATCGTTGGTGAGGAACATTATGAAACTGCGCAAAGAAGAATAGGAAGAAAAAAGAAGGCATTAAGAGATAGACCCTCCTGGCCCAACCCTAGACAATACTAAACACAGGATGTAATGCTCTATCTTCATTTTCATGGAGAAAGTGTTCAGTAATCGACATGTCCATTCAAGAGTCTTGCACCCAACAACAAATGCGACAGTTAACAAGGCCTACCCAGTATCATAATTCATTCTCTTTCCTTCCTCAGCTTCTTCATAGAACTGACAGACTGTCGTACGATCAGCTGGCTTTTGCCAATTCTGGCAAGGGACAATAGGACAGAACCATCACAGGGAAGAATACAATCAATAATCAAGTCGGCTCCTTTTCGAGATCATCGTATTATTATCATCTTGTGGCTACAGATGATTGGTTACCCACACAATACACGCTTGTAGTGATGCAAAACAGATGCCATCGAGGCACACATTTTGAGACCAAAGTATGTAGAAAGACCGCTTCCGGTAAAGCCAGCTGAATCTAATGTATACCTGCAGAGCAGTTGGCTCACTCGTCTAACACAGGGGAAAGCAAGGGCTTATCTGAAAAGAAAGCTTCCAAGTTCCCGACGACGAGGTCACATAAATCCGATAAGGATTCCGTGGTAAAAACAGCTGTATGCGGGGATAATACGACATTATCAAGAGCAAGGAGCTCTTCAGGAACATTGGGCTCATTCTCAAACACATCTAACCCGGCGCCTCCAAGCTCTCCCTGGACTAGAAGTTGCACCATTTCCTTTTCGTCGATAATTGATCCACGCCCAATGTTAACAATCACACCTTCCTTCCCCAAAGCTAATAGTACTTCCCTATCGATCATGTGGTGGGTTTGCTCATTCAGGCCACAACAGATTATAAGGGCATCGCAATTAGTGGCGAGCTCACGGACATCAGAATAGAAGGGGTACGAAACATATGGCTTCTTCTTCCTTGAGTTATATGAAACGGTGCATCCAAAGGCCTCAACCCTTTTAGCAACTTGTAGGCCTATCCTTCCCAATCCAACAACTCCCACTCTCTTGCCTCCTAGCTGCAAGTGCCACCATAGCCAGAGAAGATATAATTTACTCTTCATGTATAACTGAGACAATAAGATCTAGTCGCATAAAACAGAAGGAATTCTCTCCCTGAATTATGGAAATGAATGACGACATACTATTCTATCTACACCTCACCAGTAACAGAAAATCAGAAAAGCATGAGTTAGGCAAACCAGTTCAGAGGAACTCATGTTATGCCGCATCTGTTACTGACCCTAAATGGATTGTCCAAGTGTGCTTCACAGTCAAATCCATCAGCATTGACATTTTCAAGAGAAGACAAAACATTCATTATTTCAATTGCCTTGCTATAGAATACCATATGCCACGGCTGTAAAACGAGTGACCCGTGTTACAACATTTGATAACAACATTAGTAATTGCACATCGAATTTGCTAAGCCAACCCAGGGGATGCTCAAGACCATATAACTCTGTTGAACAACATATCAGACCAAACTCCCCATTAAACATAAATCTTGTGGCCACATCATATCTTAAATGAAGATTTTACGTATTATATTTACTGTCGGTAAATCGAAATTTTAAAACTTTAGGGAGCTGAATGCATTAGAGTCGAACGAAGGAAAATAATGAAAACCAATCTTTCCAAAGATCATCCATCAATAAAGAGATCTTTTTGGGCACACATCCTATATACTACCTTAAATTACTACTGTTAGCCCCTAAAACGATCATAGCTTTTTCTCGTCAAACAATCATGCTTGGCCGGCCCAAAGGTCTCGGCTTAGGGGCCGGCTTGTCGGCTCGGTATAAACATCCTCCACCTGATCAGCCAATTAATAGTAGAATAATCTGCAAAACACTTCTAGCTCAAAGAAACAAGTAAAAAACTATGCTTGTCCTATTCAGCTATTCCTTCTCCAGAAATTGATCGAGACACAGCACATCGCAGCATCATCAAATGATGGTGTTTAGCTAGAAAGAAATCATCAATCTCTCTACAGTCTAGAGGGTAAAGCTTTAACATAATGTAACGGAGCACATAATCATCAATGGCGAAACTCAGTTGTCACATTGCGGGTTACTCAAATGCTGACTTCCTGCACGTTCCATTAAAGTTCACATTCGCTTAATTCTCCTCTCTTGATGACCATACACTCATCCAAAAAACAATTGATGACAAAAATCGTCACAGGCAAGTAAAGAGATTGAGCGAGCAGTGATACCTTCGAACCGAGTGCGAAATCTCCCTCACTACTCCACAATCCCCGCCTCACGTACCGGTCGCCGGCCGAGACCTTCCTCAGCACGTCGATCAGCATCCCGACCGCCAGATCCGCCACCTCGTCCGAGTACACGTCCCCGGCGCTGGCGATCGCGATCCCCCGCCGCCGGCACTCGGCCAGGTCGATGTGGTTGAGGCCCGCGCTGGTGGTGACGACGAGGCGGACCCCCGGGAGCCGCCGGAGCATGTCGGCGGTGACCGGGGCCCCGCCGGAGGTGAGGATGGCCTCGGCGGGGCGGGCGTCGGGGGAGGAGAGGAAGCCGTCGAGGGGGAGCGGGGACTCCCAGGGCTTGAGGAAGCGGAAGCCGTCGGGGAGGGGGCGGTCGAGGAGGGCGAAGTGCGGGGGGTGGCGGAGGAGGAGGACGCAGGGCGGCGGGGGACGGCGGCGGAGGGGCGGTGGAGCGCCGTCGTCTTGTGGGTGGAAGGCCATGGGGAAGTCAAAATGAGCGATTGTCGAATGTAGAGAGAGAGAGAGAGAGAGACGGGGGAATTTTGTTGCCGTTGCTTGGGAAAGGGAACAGATACTTCAAGAGGAATTTGGTGCCATAACATAGTACATGTGGTGGTCCGCCTCCATATATTCGTGTCGAGAAGAATCCGATTTCACCCTTATAAAATTTTGGGACAAGTGCACCATAAGTCCTAAAACTTATCATAAAAATACATTTGAGTCCTAAAACTTGCAAAAAGTTCATTTGAGTCCTAAAACTTGTCAAAATGATTCATTTGAATCCTAAAGTTAACACCGTTAGATTTACTAACGGAAAACGCTGACGTGGCGCTGATGTGTCATTTTTAATTATTTTTCTTGAGACACGTGGCGCCATGTCAACAAAAATAAAAATAAAAATAGAAAAAGCTGCAAAAAAACAGAACCGGTGGTGACCAAGCCCGGTGGCCGCCGCCACAGCCACCGGGAAGGACCGGCGGAGGTCGCCTGGGCCTTCCCGAAGCCCGGCGATCCTCGACGGCCCCAGGCGAGGGCCGGTGACCCTCGCTCAAATCTGGGCCGAGGGTTGCGTAAGTTTCGTCCGATAATTATTGAAGCATATGTTTCCTTAGCTGCATTCGACATTGGGATTTTGTAAATTCACTATCAAGTACTGACTTTCTCTTATTATTCATTGTGAATCAATACAAATATTAAAAATTCTATGCAATGTAACCAATCCCTTAAAACCTTCTAGTCGAAATAACGATTTTATCCAAATACCATTTCCACGTGAAGAGCCTAAAATGAGTCAACCAGGTGGATATGGAGTTTTGTAGATTGGATAGAATATGGAAGTATTTTAGTAATATTGATCGGATCGAATCGGGTGCAGGTTGGGGTATGAGATCACTAATTATGTATTGCATATAAATGAATCAAAATAAGTTCGATGGGTCAATTTGGATCGAACTATTTTCGACCCGACCTATCCATTTGACGGCCCTAAACGAGACTCCATCAAAGTTGGACCGAGCATTGCAACCACAAGAAAAGCCGGCACCACTTTTGTGCGACTCTCCTAATCCTCAAAAGAAAACGTGATGATAATAAAGAAGTTCCAGAACATCAAGATCAGGGCTAGAGGTACAATACACAACACAGGATCTGATGATGTATCTTCATTTTCATGGAGAAGTCTTCAGTGATCAACATGTCCCCCATTCTAGCGTCTTGCACCCAATGACAGATGCGACGGTTGAAAACAAGGCCTACCCAGTATCATCACTCATCATCTCTTTCCTTCCCCGGCTTCTTCATGGTACCCGACAGACTATCGCACGATCAGTTGGCTTTCACCGATTGTGGAAGGGATCAACAAATACAACAGGACGAAACCATCACGGGGAAAGAATACAATCAATAGTCAATTGGCCACATATGGTGGGTTAGCCGCGCCAAACACGGCTAGTAGTGATGCACAACGGGTGCCATCAAGGCACACGCATTGAGACCAAAGTATGTAGAAAGACTGCTTCAGGTGAAGCCAACTGAATCTAGTTCAGTAGTGGTAACAGAGCCAAAATAGACCAGCTGAGCTGTCGGTTCACTCATCTAACACAGGGGAAAGTAAGGGCTGATTCGAAAAGAAAGCTTCCAAGTTCCCGACGACGAGATCGCATAAATCTGATAAGGTTTCCGGGGTATAAACAGCTCTATGAGGCGATAATACGACATTATCGAGAGCACGGAGCTCTTCAGGAACACTGGGCTCATTCTCAAACACATCTAAGCCAGCGCCTCCAAGCTCTCCCTGGACTAGAAGTTGCACCATTTCCTTTTCATCAATAATTGGTCCACGCCCAATGTTGACAATCACACCTTCCTTCCCCAAAGCTAATAGTACTTCCCTATTGATCATGTGGTGGGTTTGCTCAGTCAGGCCACAGCAGATTACGAGGGCATCGCAATTAGTGGCGAGCTCACGGACATTGGAATAGAAAGGGTACGAAACGTATGGCTTTTTCTTCCTTGAGTAATATGAAATGGCACATCCAAAGGCTTCAAGCCTTTTAGCAACTTCTTGGCCAATCCTTCCCAATCCAACAATTCCGACTCTCTTGTCTCCCAGCTGCAAGTGAAATTACCACCACAAGCAGAGAAGATATAATTTACACTCCATATATAACTGAGACAATAAGATCAAGTCGTATAAAATGGAATAAATTCTCCCTGAATCATGGAAATAAATGACGACATACTATTCTACATCTATACCTCACTAGTAACAGAAAACCACACAAGCATGAGTTGAGTCAACCAGTTCAGAGGGCCTTATGTTATGCCGCATCTGTTACTCACCCTAAATGGATTGTCCAAGTGTGCTTCGCAGTCAAATCCATCAGCATAGACATTTTCAAGGGAAGATAAAAAAATTCATAATTTCAATTGCCTTGATAAAAAATACTTTATGTCATGGCTGGAAAACATGGAGCGACCCATATTACAATTTTGACAATAAAATCAGTAATCGCACCATTGAGTTTACCAAGCCAAGCCAGGGGATGCTCAAGACCATATAACTCTGTCGAACAACATATCAGACCAAACTCCCCATCAAAGCTAAATCCCAGGGTCGAATCATCTATCTTAACTCAAAGATCTTACCTATCATATTTACGGTTATAATCAGAAAAATGAACACTAAATAAATCAAAATTTACAAATTTTAGGAAGTTGAATGCGTTACAGTTGAACAAAGGGTAATAACTAAATCCAATCTTTCAAAAGATGGTCTATTAATAGAGATGTTTTTTCGCCCGTCATGACAAAGTAGCTTTTTATGCATCTAGAGTCTAGACACAACCTTTATACCTTAAATTACTAGTGTTAACCCCCCATGAGAAGTCTGAGGTCCATAATAACTAGAAGATAAACTCCTCGTGCCGATCATTGCATTTTCTCGTCAAGCAATCACGATTGGCCAGCCCAAAGAGCTGAAGGTCTCGACTTAGGGGGCTAGTTCTCTCGGTATAAACATCATCCTCCACCTGATCGGACCAATTAATGGTGCCGTAATCTACATTTACCTCAAGAAACAAGTAAAAACTATGCTGTCCTATTCAACTATTCTTTCTCCAGAAGTCGATCAATACAAAACACATCACGCCATTTGTCAAATGATTGTGTTTACCTAGAAAAAAACTCATCAATCTCCCTACAGTCTAGAGCCCGAAGCTTTAACATAATGTAACAGAGCTCATAATCATCAATGGCGAAACTCAGTTCTCAAATTGTCGATTACTAAAATGCTGAATCTTGCACATTCAATTAAAGCTCACTTTCACTTCATCCTCCTCATCCAGAAAACTATTATTGACGAAAAGCGTCACAGACAGGTAACGAGATTGAGCGAACACTAATACCTTCGAACCGAGTGCAAATTCTCCCTGACAGCTCCACAATCCACGCCTCACGTACCGGTCGCCCGCCGAGACCTTCCTCAGCACGTCGACCAGCAGCCCGACCGCCAAATCCGCCACGTCGTCCGTGTACGCGTCTCCCGAGCAGGCGATCGCGACCCCCCGCCGCCGGCACTCGGCCAGGTCGATGTGGTTGAGGCCCGCGCTGGTGGTGACGATGAGGCGGGCCTCCGGGAGCCGCCGGAGCATGTCGGCGGTGACCGGGTCCCTGCCGGAGGTGTAGATCGCCTCGGCGGCGCGGGCGTCGGGGGAGGCGAGGAAGTCGTCGAAGGGGAGCGGCGATTCCCAGGGCTTGAGGAAGCGGAAGCCGTCGGGGAGGGGGCGGCCGAGGAGGGAGAAGTGGTGGGGGTGCCGGAGGAGGAGGACGCGCGGCGGGGGACGGCGGCGGAGGGGCGGAGGGGCGCCGTCGTTTTGGGGGTGAGAGGCCATATGGGAAGTCAAAAGTGGTGATTGAGTGGAGAGTCCGGTCAAATGTGGAGAGATATTTTGTTGCCACTGCTTGGGAAAGGTGATGGAGACTCAAGAGGAAATTGGCGCCTGGCCCACTGCCCTGAATTTAGGAAAATTTTCAAAAAAGAGTTTGAAATGCATCATTTTTTCCAAATAAAAATTTAAAGTGAATTTTATGTCAAATAAGTACCTAAAGTGACATGTCGATCTCAACTAAAAGTTTGAAGTGACCATGCAATTTCAAATAAGGACTTGACATTATCGATCGCCGGCAAAGCCAGCACGATCGCGCCTGGGCGAGGCCAACTTGGCTCGGCGAGGTCCTCGCCCAAGCAATAATTGACATGAATTCAAGTAAAGTTGAGTTAACTTATTCAATAAATTTGGGTCATATTCGTCCCGATTGTTTATGTCATCTCATGTCGTGCATAAATTATTTTTCAATGTAAATACAAAGCTCCCTCCTTTTTTTTCCCTAAAAGTTGGCAAGAACTATTTGTAACGCTTAGATTACTCATTCGAGATATTGTTTGTTTTGACTCATTTCATGTCGAGCCTCACGGTATTGCCTATGACGTATGGATAGGCACTATCCCAATAGGTCACTTATCTTAGAACTGAACATAAAATAAGGCGTAAAAAATCACACGACCTCACAACATCGCATAAAATCTAAATGAAAAAAAGTCATAGCATAAGCATTGATATCATACTGTGACAACCCTAGATTAACTCACTCTAAATATTATGCGATTTGGCCTGTCCCATACCGAGTCTTACAGTTTTGTCCATTGACGTACAATAGGCACTTTCCTAGGATATCACCCATCCCGCTAATGCTCTCACTTGATCAAGCTTAACATAGGAATTTCAATGTTAAACGTTATCGTTACGTCGAAAGACGAGTGAGTTATTTCCAATTTCGCATATATAATCCAGGCACTACTCCCCTATTTAGTGCACAATTCAATTCATTCATAACTCATTTGCCAACTTAGAAGCTTGCCGAGAGCCACTCCTTATCAGGACCCTCTCATCTTAGAATTTCTCTTCAGTAGATTTTCCGTCGTGCTCAAATAACATTCTCATGTTACTTCAAACATTGTCACCTTCACACCAATCGATCTTGAACGAGCACAATTTGACATTTCATAACATGCGTCGCCTTCAACTCTCAATAAGAAAAAAAAAAAACATCAAATCACCAAATACTTGAACTTTATGAAATCAGTTTTGCAAGTACTTCTTGAGTCCACTGCAATCAGATTGGGCAAACAGACAAAAGGAAAACATTAACTTTTTTGGAGGATTGGGGATTTAAATCAGTTGGACCCGAATTCAAATGTGCTTGAATGTTTGGCAAACACGGTTGTAGAAAGACAGCTTCAGGTAAAGCCAACCGGATCTAGTTTAGTAGCGGTAACAGAGCCGATATACACCGGCGGAGCAGTCGGGCTCACTCATCTAACACGGGGGAAAGCAAGGGCTTCTCCGAAAAGAAAGCTTCCAAGTTCCCGACGACGAGATCGCACAATTTCGAAAACGATTCCAGGGTAAAAACAGCTCTATGCGGGGATAATACGACATTATCGAGAGCACGGAGCTCTTCAGGAACGTTGGGCTCATTCTCAAACACATCTAACCCGGCGCCTCCAAGCTCTCCCTGGACTAGAAGTCGCACCATTTCCTGTTCATCGATAATCGATCCACGCCCAATGTTTACGACGACACCTACCTTCCCCAAAGCCAATAGCACTTCCCTATCGATCATGTGGCGGGTTTGCTCGTTCAGGCCGCAACAGATTACGAGAATGTCGCAGTTAGTGGCGAGCTCACGGACATCGGAATAGAAGGGGTACGAAACGTATGGCTTTCTCTTCCTTGAGTTATATGAAATGGCACATCCAAAGGCCTCAAGCCTTTTAGCAACTTCTAGGCCAATCTTTCCCAATCCAACAATTCCAACTCTCTTGCCTCCGAGCTGCAAGTGAAATTACCACCACAAGCAGAGAAGATATCATTTACACTTCATGTATAACTGAGACAATAAGATCAAGTCGTATAAAATGGAATAAATTCTCCCTGAATCACGGTCATAAATGACAACATACCATTCTACATCTACAACAACTCACTAGCAGCAGAAAATCACACAAAGCATGAGTCAAGTCAACCAGTCCAGAGGGCCTTGTGTTATGCCGCTTCTGTTACTGACCCTAAAAGGAATGTCCAAGTGTGCTTCATAGTCAAACTCATCAGCATAGACATTTTCAAGAGAAGATAAACGTTCATAATTTCAACCCCCCTGCTGTAAAACGCTCTATGCCATGGCTGTAAAACATGGAGTCACTCACATTACAACAAAATCAGTAATTGCGCCCATTGAATTTATTAAGCCAAGCCAGGGGATGCTCAAGTCCATATAAACTCTGTCGAACGACTCATCAGACCGAACTCCCCATCAAAGCTAAATCCTGGGGTCGAATCATCTATCTTAACGAGAAGATCTTACCTATCATATTTACTGTTATAGTCGGACACATGAACACTAGATAAATCAAAGTCTAAAAATCTGAGAAATTCGCACGCGTTAAAAGTTGAACGAAGGAAAACAACGAAATCCGATCTTTCAAAAGATCATCTATTCATAGAAAGATTTTCTGCCCGTCATGACGAAAAAGCTTATTATGCATCTAGACACAGTCTTTATACCTTAAATTACTAGTGTTAACCCCTACAAGACATCTGAGGTCCATAACAACTAGAAGGTAGACCCTTCGTACTGATCATGGCATTTTCGCACCAAACAGCCGTGATTGGCCAGCCCAAAGAGTTAAAGGTCTCGACTTAGGGGCTCGTTCGCTCGGTATAAACATCCTCCACCTGATCGGACCAATTAACAGTGCAGTAATCTACTCCTAACTCGAGAAACAAGCGAAGACGATGCTGTCCCATTCACCTGTTCTTTCTCCAGAAGTCTGATCCATACAAAGCGAATCGCACCGCTGTCAAATGATTGTGTTCGGCTACAAAGATGATCATCAATCTCTCCACAGTCTAGAGTCCGAAGCTATGACATAATGTAACAGAGCACATGATCATCAACGGCGAAACTCGGTTGTCAAATTGTCGATTACTCTAAAATGCCGACTCTTGCACATTCGATTGGAGCTCACTTTCGCTTAATTCTCCTCTCTTGATCACTAAACACTCATCCAAACAACCATGAATGACAAGAATCGTCAGATACAGATAAAGAGATGAAGCGAGCTCTAGTACCTTCGAACCGAGTGCGAATTCTCCCTCGCTGCTCCACAATCCACGCCTCACGAACCGGTCGCCCGCCGAGACCTTCCTCAGCACGTCGATCAGCAGCCCGACCGCCAAATCGGCCACCACCTCAGAGTACGCGCCCCCCGCGTTGGCGATCGCGATCCCGCGCCTCCGGCACTCGGCGACGTCAATGTGGTTGAGGCCGGCGCTGGTGGTGACGACGAGGCGGAGGCTCGGGAGCCGCCGGAGCACGTCGGCGGTGACCGGAGACACGCCGCAGGAGATGATCGCCTCGGCGGAGCGGGCGTCGGCGGAGGAGGAGAGGAAGTCGTCGAGGGGGAGCGGCGATTCCCAGGGCTTGAGGAAGCGGAAGCCGTCGGGGAGGGGACGGTCGACGAGGGAGAACTCGAGGGGTTGCCGGAGGAGGAGGACGCGCGGCGGGGGACGGAAGTCCGGGGGCGGAGGAGCGCCGTCGTGGTGGTGGCGTGAGGCCATGTGAAGTCGAAACGAGCGACTGACAGAACTGTCGCGTTCATCATTCATGTCATTTTATGCCTTTGTTAAATAATTTTACATTTTGACCAAATTTTTTTTTTTACATGATCATGAAGTTCATTTTTTCTTGGGAAAAAATCAAAAAATCAAATTTTAAATGCATGACAGCATTCTTGAACTTTTTTGTGCAAACATCAACTTTCTTTTTGTGCACATTTACATGTATTTAGTCCATGGGCATTTTCGTCTTTTACTGCTTTTCTTTTTTTTTTTTTTTTTTTCTTCCGTGAGGGCCCTGCGCGTCGAACGAGGACCGCCCTCGCCGGCGTCGAGCGAGCCGCCCTCGCTCGGCGAGGGCCCTGCATAGGAAGAAAAAAAAAAAAAAAGAAAAGAAAGAAGACGAAAATGCCCATGGACTAAATACATTGCAAAATGTCTGACAAGTTTTTGTGTCAAAAAAAAGTTGAGTAATGTGCACATGCAAGTTGGGATTTTGGTGGTTTTCCTTTTTTTCTTTGTAAAAAAATTGATGAAAATTGTATAAATTCATCTCGATTTCTAAGTAAATACGAGTCGGGTTTTCGTGTCATCTCGTGCCGTGCGTAAATTGTTTCCAATGTAAACGCAAAGTTAAAATTTATGTATCGACCCTATAATAATCGTGCCGTGTCAGGTTGGCGACATTGTTTCCAAACATCGTCATACTACTCGATTTGAATGAGCACAATTTGGCATTTGAATAACACAGTAACATTATAAAATTAATTGGGAAAATGACAAAAACAATCCATAAATTTTAACTCAATATACAATGTCCTTCGTGATTTTTTTAAATTATTCAATATAGTCCTTCATTTTGCTCAAACGATAAATTAGACGTTATTTAATGACGTAAATTATTATGTGCTAAGTTGGATGTTTAAAAATGATAAGTTTATATGTCCGTTTTTTTATCCATCTATTTTAGAAAAGGAAAATAAAATTAGGGCATTACCACATCCAAATAAATCTTCTAGACTTTTACGTATTTGATTTGTTGAAAATGATTAATTAACGAAAAATCATTTATAATAAAAGAAAATACGCACGGTTAAAAGTTAGAAATATGAGTTCCTTAATTTAAAAAGGGCAAAAAAAAAACTCCTAAAAATATTTTCCAAAAAAAACGTTTCCTTTATCATAATTATTTTCTCAAAACAAACGCACCCTTACCCTTACCCTTACCCCCAAGACGCTACGCCACCACAAACATGTGTGATGGTACAAAATTAGACCTTCATGCTACGACAACTATCGAGGTTAGAGAGGGAAAGTCGGGTCAATTCGGACTAACCCTCGGCGCTGCGCGGACCTTCTTTCAATGTGCGCGAGACTCTAGAGCCGCAAACATCCTTTGGCTTTCGTCATTTTTTTTCATAATTAGGTCTTCCGATCGACTCTTCAAATTGCAAAACAACAAAAAAAAAAAATCTACTCGATTAGCCTCCATCAAAGCTGCACCGAGCATTGCAACTACAAGAAAAGCAGATACCCACTTCGCCCACTTTTGTGCGATCCTCTCCAAAATCCTCAAAAAGCTCTTCCCCCTTTTTGCAGAGAGAGACGCACCAAAGAAATGTCTCTCGATTCTCTGGGCCCGGAGGAAATTGCAAAGTCAGAATATATTTGTTTCTGTGGAGTGACATGATGATTGATGAATAGAAAGTAACAAGCACTAGGGTTGTCAGAACCGAACCGAGATACGAATCAAATCGAATCAAATCGAACCGAAAATTTCGTGCATTTCGGTTTGATTTCGGTTTCGATTTCGGTTCGGATCATCAAAATAAACCAATTTTTCTTTTCGATTCGGTTTATTTCGGTTCGGTTTGGATCGGTTTGGATCGAACCGAACTAAAATAAACACTTCGGTTTAGGGCTATTTTGCCCTCTCTCTCCCCTTCTCTCTCCTCTCTCTCTCTCTCTCTGAATGAACTTGAAACCGAAAACTGATCCGAACCAAATCGATTTTTCGGTTCGGTTCCAATTCGGTTCGGTTCAAATTCAGTTCGGTTCAAGGGGGCACCCTTAATGGTTCGGTTCGGTTCGGTTTTCTTGAAAAACCGAATTGAACCGAACCATTTACACCCCTAACAAGCACAAATCATTTTTGATCACCACAAGTTTCCCAATTCACCAAACTTACCGTTGACTCCTCCTGAAATTCAACAATATGCGAGCAGCAAAAGCTAAAGTTGGGCCCCTGCTCTGTCTCCAAATCAATCATCTGCAGCCGAGAATGATGATATGCAGCTTGTAGGGCTGGAGCAACTGCCCGGAGCAGCAACCATCCGAACACGCAAGGAAGCGTATCGGGTGATGTTTGTACGAGCTGATGCATGGCGTCTTGAAAAACAAGAACTCCAGATTGGTTCGGCGAGATATAATAAGGTGGTTTTGCAATCGATCAGAGCCCGGTAAGGATTAGAAAAAACCAATCTCCAGTGAGATGCCTGATGAGCCATCTTTGTTTTTTCCCCTTCCAATCTTTATTGCATCATGAATATACGAATGATAACAATTGCGAAAACCCAGCGACCATGTTACGCTCTACAGTCAGTCTAGTGGAAACTAAACCATGGATCAAATTCTGGGGTTCTGATAAAAAGACTCACCGGGCCTTCCCTCAGGACTTGAGCAGCCGGTTCACTCATCTAACACCGGGGAAAGCAAGGGCTTATTTGAAAAGAAAGCTTCCAAGTTTCCGATGATGAGATTGCACAAATCCGAAAAGGATTCCGGGGTAAAAACAGCTGTATGCGGGGACAATACGACATTATCAAGAGCAAGGAGCTCTTCAGGAACACTGGGCTCATTCTCAAACACATCTAAGCCGGCACCTCCAAGCTCTCCCTGGACTAGAAGTTGCACCATTTCCTTTTCATCGATAATTGGTCCTCGACCGATGTTAACAATCACACCTTCCTTCCCCAAAGCTAATAGTACTTCCCTATTGATCATGTGGTGGGTTTGCTCAATCAAGCCACAACAGATTACAAGGGCATATCGCAATTAGTGGCGAGCTCACGGACATCAGAATAGAAGGGGTACCAAACGTGCGGCTTCTTCTTCCTTGAGTTATATGAAATGGAGCATCCAAAAGCCTCGAGCCTTTTAGCAACTTCTAGGCCAATCCTTCCCAATCCAACAATTCCAACTCTCTTGCCTTCCAGCTGCAAGCGAAATTACCATCACAAGCAGAGAAGAGATAATTTACACTTCATGCATAACTGAGAGAATAAGATCAAGTCGTACAAAATGAAATATGAGTTATCCCTAAATTGTTAAAAAAAAAAATGACAACATACGATCATGCATCACCACACCAGTATCAGAAAATCACACAAGCATTTGTTAAGCCAACCAGTCCAGAGGACCTCATGTTATGCCGCATCTGTTACTGACTCAAAATGGATTGTCCGAGTGCGCTTCACAGTCAAATCCATCAGCATGGACATTTTCAACAGAAGACAAAACGTTCATAATTTCAATTGCCTTGCTATAAAATACTCTATGTAGTGACCCCATATTGCAACATTTTATAACAAAACCAGTTATTGCACCATTGAATTTATTAGGCCAAGCCAGGATATGCTCGGACAACATATCAGACCGAACTCCCCATCAAAGATAAATCTTGGGGCCGAATCATCCATCTTAACTAGAAGATCTTACCTATCACATTTACTGTTATAGTTGGACACATGAACACTAGATGAATCAAAATTTAGAAACTTTAGGAAGTTGCATACGTTAGAGTTGAACGAAGGAAAACAACCATATCCAATCTTTCAATAGATCATCTATCAATAGAGAGGTTTTCTGCCCGTCATGAGGAAAACGCTTATCATGCACCCAGACATAGTCTTTATACCTTAAACTACTAGTGTTACCCCCCTACGAGACATCTGAGGTCCAGTATAACTAGAAGGTAGACCCTCTGTACCGATCATGGCTTTTTCTCATCAAACAATCACGATTTGGCCAGCCCAAAGAGTTAAAGGTCTCGACTTCGGGGCTCGTTCGCTAAGTATAAACACCCTCCGCCTAATCAGACCAATTGATATTGGAATTCAAACACTTGTGCCTCAAGAAACAAGTAAGAACTAAGCTCGTCCTATTCGCCGATTTTTTCTCCAGAAGTTGATCCATACAAGGCGAAACGCACCGCCATCAAATGATTGTGTTCACAGCTAAAAAGACAACCATCAATCTCTTGTAACAGAGCACATGATCATCAATGGCGAAACACGGTAGTCGAATTGTCGATTACTCTAAAATGCCGACTCTTGCACATTCGATTGAAGCTCACTTTCACTTAATTCTCCATTCATGATTGCTAAACACTCATCCAAACAACCATTAATGACAAGAATCGTCAGAGACAGAGAAAGAGATGAAGCGAGCTCTGGTACCTTCGAACCGAGTGCGAATTCTCCCTCGCTGCTCCACAACCCACGCCTCACGCACCGGTCGCTCGCCGAGACCTTCCTCAGCACGTCGATCAGCAGCCCGACCGCCAAATCCGCCACGTCCTCCGAGCACGCGTCCCCCCGCGCTGGCGATCGAGATCCCCACGCCTCCGGCACTCGGCGACGTCGATGTGGTTGAGGCCCGCGCTGTCGGTGACGACGAGGCGGACCTCCGGGAGCCGCCGGAGCATGTCGGCGGTGACCGGAGTCATGCCGGAGGCGAGGATCGCCTCGGCGGAGCGGGCGTCGGCGGACGAGAGGAAGTCATCGAGGGGGACTCCCAGGGCTTGAGGAAGCGGAAGCCGTCGGGGAGGGGACGGTCGAGGACGGAGAACTGAGTAGGGTGCCGGAGGAGGAGGACGCGCGGCGGGGGACGGCGGCCGAGCGGCGGAGGAGCGCCGCCGTTTTGGGGGTGAGAGGCCACGTGAAGTCAAAATGAGTGCGTAAATCTCATCTCGATCTTCTTAAGTAGAGGCGAGTCGAGCTTGCTGTTCGATTAATTCATGTCACATGTGTCGTCTCGTGTCGTGCCTAAATTATTTCCGATATAGATATGAAGCTACATTTTTTTTTCACTAAAAGTTGGTAAAAAATATGTTGGTTCCGATTAGTCTTGAATGATCATGTCGGGTCGAGTTGGGTCGAAATTTCTCCTAAATAGATTTCCGTCGTGTTCAAGTCGTATCCACAGAATTATTTCATGCACCGCCGCCCTTCAAAGCTAGGTTCTGCGAGACTCCTTTGTGACATCGGCGTACTAACCGATCTGCACAAGCACAATTCCGGACATTGCGAGGTCGATCTTAACATACCTAGAGTCGAGGGCAATGGACAACGTACCTCTTCGGGTCCATTGCAATCGGATTGGGCAAAGAGATCAAAGAAAGAAACATCCAATTTTGGTGGATCTGAGATTCGAATCGGTTGGACCAGGTCGACCGACCCGATTCAAAATGTGCTTGAATGTATGGAAATCAGTAGGGACCAAAGAGCATTAATGTGTCGCTGTCCATACGTGGGAGTGGTCCAAAAATGCAAATTCGGACTTTGGTAACATGGGGGGGCATCTTGAGGTTGTCGGGTCGGTCCAAATCTAACTTTCCATGTTAGTTACACTTGCTTTTTGTTATGTTCTGTGCGTGGTTGATTAGTATGGTAGGTCATGTTTGCTGCGGTACCGGATACGGTTGTGCTGTACCATTCAACGGGATTCTTCTCCCCTAATCAACCATGTGGTTGATAACAAGATTTGACAAGAATGGACAAGAGAGACTAGAAAAGTAAACTAAGCAATCATTTGCGTTGGATCCCTTTCGGCCTAGCAAGCAACGTGTTTATTCCGAAAATGGAATTCACGCTCCTTCCAATTCCATGTGGATTCTCATGGATTGCCGAGACAAGGTTCTAGAGATCGGAATCGACGAACCATTTTTATGGTTTTGATTTTAGGCTCCTCTTCCCGTTCGATTGATCAGAAGCATCCGTCAGCCTGAGGCCGACTTTGAATTCGATTCGAAGTGAGAAAAAAGAGAATGCTCTACTTCAATGCAGCAACTTGTTTCGAGCTGATTAGGAAATGATTTCATTCCTAGATCACTAATTATACTAAATACAAGAAAGCCGGTGCCCTGAAAATGACATAGTTTCATTCCCCAAGCATGTGTCATGTCACAAAATGAAGAGGCACTCGTGCTTTTAGAACATCACCAAGGCCGGAAAAGGGAAAGTCGAGTCAATTCGGATCCATCCTCGGCGCAGCACTAATCTTAAGCCGAGTCGATTCGGATCGATCCTCGGCGCGGCACCGGACCTTCTCTCGGCGTGCGCCGCAACCCACCTTTTTGGCTTTCAACACTTTTCATAATTAGGTCCCCCAATTGACTCTCCCAATTGCAGATAATCTACTCGATTGGCCTCCATCAAAGTTGCGCCGAGCATTGCAAAGAAAAGCAGATACCCACTTTCGCGCTTCTCTCTGCTAAATCCTCAAAAGCTCCTCTTTTTCGCAAGGGAGACACGCACCCAAGAAAAACGTCTTCAACTTTCTTGGGCTCCAGACAGAGGATATTGCAAAGTCAGAACATGTTTGTTGTTCTGCGAAGTGATCTTTCGATTCATGAACAGAAGAAAGTAACCAAGGACAATCATTTCGCCTTTTACCATGATATCCCAAGTCACCAAGCGTTACCGGGGCTCCTCAAATTCAACAGCTGCGAGCAGCAAAAGCTTCAAGTGGGGGCTCTGCTCTGTCCCCAGCCAAATCATTAATCCTCTGATGCCGAGAAGAATGATGCGCAGATTGTAGGGCCGAAGCCACCGTCCTAAGCAGCCATCCGAACGCGCAAAGACATCGCGCGTTATGCGACTTTACATGTATTTGCCGGCGTCATCGCGTTATCATGACACGTGATATTGGCGTTGCATGATAAGGTTTTGCAATCGATCAGAGGTCGAAAAGCATTAGAAAACAGTATTATCTACAGTGAGATGCCTAAGAAGCCTTCGTTGTCAATTTTTCCTTCAAATCTTTGGTTGCATCATGCATCTACAAATGACAACAATTGCTGAAACCCAGCGACCATTTTACACTCTAGACTACAGTCAGTCAGTGGAAACCAAACTATGGATCGAATTCTAGGATTCCGATCGAAAAGCTCTCACCAGGCCTTCTTTCGGGACTTGAACTGGAAATTGGACGGCGGCGACGGGGAGAACTCGAACGGCAGGTGGGGCGGCTCGGCTTCGCCAGAGAGCATCCCCACGACCTCCGCCATGTTCGGTCGCTTGGTCGGCGACCGCTGTAGGCAGAGGAGGGCGATGGTGATGCAGAGCAACGCCTGTTCCGTGTTCAGCGAGTGTATGGAGCTGTCGAGAAGATCCAAGAGCCTCCCGTTTTGAGCCAATTGCCTTGCCCAAGAAATCAAATTGGCTCTCTCGAACTCTGCCATCGGAGAGGCGGTCACTTGCAGCGGCCTCCTCCCCGAGACTAGGACCAGAAGCAAGACGCCGTAGCTATACACGTCGCACTTCTCCGACAATTGCCCGCCGCCGCCGTACTCGGGGGCAATGTAGCAAACAGTCCCCCTCATACTCGGTGTGCTACTAACACCGCCGCTCTTCGGTATTATGTCGCCGGCGCTCGTGCAGGACCATTCCTGGCTATTCCTCCTCCCGTTTCTCAGCTCTCCACTCAATCCGTCCATCCACCAATCCATGCTGCTCCTACTCTTCCTCTTCTTCCTCTCCTGCGCGGCCGAGTCGTCATCCTTCTGCCACCACATTTCCCCTCCGTCGCCGCTCGAACAATGCCCACGCCTCTTCTTCGTCTTCTTGGAGAGCTCGTCGCAGAACTCCTCCCTCCACCACTCCTTCGGCTTCTGCTTCTTTTCCTTCTTCGGCGATCTCTCCTCGTCCAACGAGGCCCACCATTCCCACCTTTTCCTCTGCTTCCTGGGCGGCTTGAGCTTCCTGCTCGACCCCTCATCTTTTACCGGATCGGGCGACGACGAAACCCAATCGCTCTTGGGTCTTTCCTTCCTAATCTCGCTGCCGATCCACTCCATGACATAATCTTTCACTCTCCCCGACTCGGACCCTCCTACATTGTCTTGCCTCCACCACCAATTGCTCCTCGAATTCCACTTCTTCTCGGCCCCCCCGCCGGCATTCGCTCGATGCGCATCCTTACCGCTCTCTATGCTAGTCCCGTCGAAACACCCCTCGGACACACTCCCTCTTTCCATTCCCATCTCCGGCGACGCCGCAGCCGCCCCTGGAGACTCCTCCGAATCCAAGACCCTGATCACGCAGCTCTCGGGCGACCGCTCCGCGCAGCACCGGCTGCTGCCCTCGTCGCAGCCGGTCGCGACACTCTCCGACTCCTCCAAGATGGATCCATTGTTATCCTCCTCGACGATCATCACCGTCCCATTCTCAACCCCATCCACATTATCACCCTCCTCCATGATTTCCTCGGTCTTCAGCCGAGCAAGCCCGAAATCCCCAATCTTTGCCCTAAACTCCGAATCCAGCAACACGTTGCTGGGCTTGATGTCCCCGTGAATCACCGGGGGATCGCAACAGTGGTGCAGATACTCGAGCCCCCTCGCGACGTCGGCCGCGATGTCGAACCGCCGGCGCCACTCGGCGAGCTCGGCGCACTTCTTGTCGAAGAGAGCATCTTGCAAGCTCCGATTTTGCATGAACTCGTAGACGAGCAAGAGCCTGTTACCTCGGCGGTTGGTGGAGTAGCCGTGGATGGAGACAATGTGGGGCGAGCCGTTGAGGACCGGGGCGAGGGAGAGCTCGTTGCGGAACTCGCGGTCGGAGGCGGCGGCGGCGGAGGGGGACGGGGAGGGGGACGGCGACGACATGAGCTTGACGGCGAGGGGGGAGGGGTGGCAGGGGAGGAGGGCCTTGTGGACGGACCCGAAGGCGCCGTGGCCGAGGAGGGACGAGGGGGAGAAGGAGGAGGTGGAGCGGCGGAGGAGGGAGTAGGAGAAGCGGCGGAGGAGGTGGTCCTCCTGCTGCTGCTGCTGCTGCTGCTGGCTGCGGTGGTGGTGGCGGTGGGGGGACTTGGAGTCGGCGGGGGCGGTGCGGGCGCGGGAGAGCCTGCGGTAGAGGAAGACGGAGAGGAGGAGGGCGAGGAAGAGGAGGACGAGGGAGAGGGACGCGGCGCCGGCGAGGGCGGCGGCGGGGAGGAGCGGGTGGATGCCGCGGTGGTGGCGGGCGGCGGGCGCGGCGGCGGCGGCGGTCAGAGGGGGCGGAGGAGGAGGAGGGGGAGGGAGGCGGGAAGGCATGGTATCGGGGGGGGGGGGCCGAGGGTGCGGAGGAGGTCAAGGACGAGAGGATGAAGAGGACATGGCCATGGAAAGAGAGAGAGAGAGAGAGAGAGTGTTGTTGCTGCAGAGAAGCAGAGCAGTCTGTGTTTGTTGTTGCAGAAGAGAGAGACACTGAGGAGAGAGAGAGAGAGAGGGGGGGCGGGAGGAAATTATTTTTTCTGAACAGGAAAATGAGCGCCCTCGCCATCCTTTCAAGAATCCGGAAAAAAAAAATATTTTATTGTTATTGTGTGGCGAATATCACTTTTGGCTCAAATGCGAATATTATTTTAAAAAAAAAAAGGGTTTGTTCATGGAAGACTAGGCTAATTTAGATATTCTAACAAAAAAATGTGCTAATTTAAATAAAGTTAATATCATGAAAAACTCCGAACTGATACACCCGTGATAAATTTATCATAAACTCATTTTTTAACTGCCAAAAACTCCGAACCAGTATGCATGTGGCGAAGTTACCGAGAACTCATTTTTTGACAATTAAAAACTCCAAATCGGTACACCTGCGACATATTTATCCTCTGTTAGTTTTCGTTAAAATGGATTAATACCGATAAAAACCCCGAACCAGCATGTCATTCAACTCGGCAATTTGACGGTAAAATTTAACGAAAACTAAATGATGGTAAATTTGTCATAAGCGTACCGGTTTAGAATTTTTAGTGGTCAAAAACTTAATTTAGGTTAAATGTGCCACATGTGTATTGACTTGGATTTGTCACCGTTTAATTAGTTTCGCCACGTAAAACTAAAATTCCAATTAATGTTGTTTTTTTTCATTTTCTGCAACGTCACTGGGAAGTAATGATAAGATTAATATCTCTAAGTAAATGGCGAAATAAAATACCAAATATCATTTCTCGTTCGAAAAGTAAACATCAAATGGATAATATTTCAATTATCTCGATAATTACAACAAACAATAATCATTCAAAACTTGGAAATGAGAAACTCAGAGAAAGATGAAAACGGTTGCTGTTGTACTAAAAGATCAACCAAATAATTTATTTATTTTTGGTCGAAAACCAAAGAATTTCATCGATTGCAATAAATTTTTTTCCTTTTTACCTTTTTATCTATATACTCTTTCGTGGAGATCAACTTACATCGTAATTTTTAAAATAATATGTATATGATGAAAAGAGGCTGAGTGAGAAAGTAAAAATTGAAACAAAATCTATTTTTGGGCTAAATAAATAAATATAATTATTTAATTTTTGCTTTCTCTCTAGAAGCCAAAAGAGACGGGAAAAAATATCTTCTTTTTTTTTAAATTTTTTTCGCTGTTTTTTTGGTCGAAATTTCTTGGCCATAGAGTTTATCATTTTCAATACCTTTTTTTTTGCCATATTTCTTTTCGATAATGTTGGACGCAGCGATGGGTTGTACGTGCGAAACGACCGTGTCTTGATGAGTTTGAAAATTTTTCTCATGTTATCGCTTGTTTTTTTAAATGGAAAATAAGAATGTGAAGGATATCGTACTTTTAAATTTATTTTCATTAATAATTAGGAATACGGATTAATGTATCCGTACAGGAGCAAATGTAACAGATTTTTTCGAGCAAGATTAGGTTCCTACTTTTATGCGATTTCATCCTTTCGAGTATTTTTTAATTGATCGGCTCTCTAACTCCGACTCCATTCGTGCAATCATACTATCCCGATCACCGGAAAAAAAGGATTTCAAAAACTATCTCTCTCTATCGAACGAGTACGATTTTAGTGTCTCCGTTGAGTTTTCTATGTTCCGTTAATGAGGCGTGTAGTTAAGTGTCACTGTCGTATCGACTTTACCCACGTCAAGAATGTCATGTTCGTAATTTGATCGCACAAATTGAGGAAAATTAGATGACTCGAGTTTACAAAAAAAAAAGTTTGGAGGACAAAATTGTAGAGAGAACATAACTCAGAGGACAAAATTTCAAAGAGAATAGAACTTGGAGGACTAAAATTGGACTTGACCCTTTTCAACATTATTAGCATCATTCAATGGAAATGAATTTCTAGATAGTATATGAAAAGCATTTTCTTTTGACCCGTTTCAGTCTTATAGTCATGAACTCATATTTATCTATATCAACAGATTCTCGATGCAAATCTTAAGATTCGATGTCACATCCATACACCCATATCTCCGGGGGAATCTACAAAGTTAAATCGAAAGCAAATTTATCGATCCGCCACCGAATTTCCCGATCTACAAAGTCAATCCTAACCCGACAATTTTATCATTTCCTAAGTCGTGATGTTTCACCTACACATGTTGTGTGTGTGTGTGTGTGTTTTTTTTTCTAATATTTCATGTTGGACAATATATAGCATGTACTTGGCCTTTGGGCTTTTGCATGGCTTTCTTTAATCGCTATGTTTGAAATGGGACACTTGTGAAAAGGAAAAAATGCGTAGCAAACCGTTATAAAAATCCTCGGACGTTGAGATATCTTTGTCCTTTGATTATGAATCTTTACCCATAATTTAATATGAATTTTTATATGATTATCTTGGGAATTATTTCTCATGCGTTGACAAGTAGGCTTACAGTCCTTCTTAGTATATAAATTTGATGGTTTGTTCCTGATGGAAGACTATAAATTTAGTGCACAAAACTAAAAAGGGACTTTAGAAGTAAAAGGTAAGATTTGGATCGACATCCACACAACTTCAAAGTCTAAACCAAATATAGGTTCGTTCTTTTAGGTTAATACCATAAAATAAAAATCTCAAACTATTATCACAATGACACATTTACCCTCGAATTAAATGATAATTCAACTAATTTTTTGCCTCACGAAAAAGTCCTTAATCAGTATCCCTATATTCTACTATTAATTAGCATTCCGTCCAATATCTTTTTAAAATGCATACTTGTCAATAGGCATGGCACGTGACTACATGACGGATCTGATGTGGAGAGAGAACGACAGATCTGACGTACAAAATCCGCTCGCGCGGACACCTGTGCATTTTTAACAGGATATTAGATGGAATGCTAATGAAATAATAAGATTCGGGTCGGATTTTTCGTGAGAAGAAAATCAGTTTTGGGTAAATGTATTATGGGGGCACCAGTTCGAGATTTTTCCGCGAGGTACCGGTTTGGGATTTTTCACGGGGTATCGACCCTTCCATCAGTTGCCAAATTTTGAGTTCATTCCTCTTAGGGCCCGTTTGGTAACGTGCCAAACAGTAAAAATTTCTGTTCTTTTGTTCCCAGAAATAGTTTGGGAACAGAAATGCGTTTGGTAAACTTTTTGTGCCCGGGGACATTTTTGCAAAAATTTGTGCCCAGAAACAGTTTTGGAAGAGAAACAAAAAGTAACAAAAAGTTGCTTCTTGTTTGTCGGCACAATTTTGAGAATCGGTTTTTTTCTTCTTTTTCTTTTTTTTGTTTTATTCGTTTTGTGTTGCTCTTCTTGGGGTGGCGCCGCCGGTGGCCGGTGACCGGCCACCCCCAGGGCCGCGAGGGCGTCACGGCCCTCGCCGGCCGCACGAGGCGAGGGTCCCCCTTGCCGGCGAGGGCGAGGGTGGACCCTCGCCGCCTTGGGCGAGCGGCTCGCCGTCGTCATGGCGAGGTTGGCCTCGCCCGGATCGGGCGGGCCGAGCCTCGTCGTGGGTCGCGACGGCAAGGCTCGGCCTCGCCAGATCTGGGCGAGGTCAGCGGCGAGGCAGGCGGCGAGGGCCGCGACGCCCTGGCCTGTGGCCGGTCGCCGGCCCCGGCGACCGGCCATGGCTAAAGAAGGAAGGATAGAAAGAAAAAAAAAATTAAATAATTTAAAATATTATTAATAAAAAGAAATTTTGTGTAGTTACCAAACGTATTTCTGTTCTTTTCTATCCCAGGAATAGAAATTTTGGATAGTTACCAAACGCCTTCAAATGCTTAGAAATTGTTTCCGGACACAGAATAAAAAAGAACTATTTTTTAGTAGAAATAATTTCCCGGCATAAAAATATTGCCATGCGAACCCTTAAAGTAATCTCTGGCCAAAAAATGGAAAAGGAGCCATTGTAAGTAAATTTGTTTGGCCCTCAAATTTTGGGAATGGTGCTGTGAATTTGACCTCTCTCTCTCCTTCTCTTTTCTTTTTATTTCACTTTTGGCCCAAAGGACGTTGAGGTTTGCAAATTGCAATGAAGGACACATTGAATTCCCCAACGATTTTACCTGCTGCTGTTCCCGTACGCACGCTTGCTTTTACTTTTATCGTCATCTCCTCCTGCGAGAAAAAACCAGAAGCTTTGACAGCGACCGCGCGTGGGGTCATTTATTGCGAGGCGTTGACCCGTGAGCCAACCCGGTGGCGGTTCGTGGTTGAGCGGGGATTGGGATTCCCTCGGGAATCCCAAGCTCGCCCACGCGCCGGCTTCGGCGCGCGTGCGGTCCACCGGCAAGTCACGTGAGCCCGCCCGTGACCCTGGGACTGGTCCAAGCATGTGCTCTGCTCTCCTTTTCTTTTTTCTTTTTTTCTTTTTATATTTTTTTCATCCTTTTTTTTTGGCTTAGGATCTTCCAGAATCAATAGGTTAAAACGATCGAAGTGGGGATAACATTCGCGTAACAAGGTGAAATTGACAAGAAACTTGTCTTTTGAAAGTGCGGCATTATTGTGTATAGAAATCGATCACTGTGGCGTATAGAAAGTATTGTCGGTATAAAAGATTTCAAGAGAATATAACGAATGTTGAATTGCTCGACGGTTGATATGCTGCAATTGTCTTGGATAGATGGAAAACGTCGTTCTCCCAAGTACAACTAAGAATGTCTTTGAGATAAGTGCACGTACGAAGTAGCCTTTTTTTCTCACCCCTTAACCTGCAAACACACGTCGAGGATCAAGACAATCGCCAAATATTGATTAATACCAAGACCGTGCTCGATCGCAAGCTGTATAGAGGATACCGCGTTTTTCTATGTAGTTTTGTCGTTCGACTTCATCGTCGAGCGGGTCGAGCTATGCCGGAACGAGATGGCGAGAACGAGCAGCTTTTCCCTAACAAAGTAAAAATAATAACCAAACAAAAAAAAAAAGAAAGCTATTTGAGAAAGAGATGATCAGCATGTAGAGATGGTAATTCGTTTAGCGTCTCGCCACATGATAATGGCATGCGATTATAAAGAAATGAATAATTTCAATATATTAAGCTTCTTGTAAGATAGACAAATATAGGGCTAATTTAAAATAGGGTTAATACCACGAAAAACTCTAAACTGGTACACTTGTGACACATTTACCCAAAACTATTTTTTTGACCATAAAAAACCCCAAACTGGTACACTTGTGACAATTTTACCCCGAACTATTTTTTTGACCATCAAAAACCCCAAACTGGTACATCTGTGACAATTTTACCCTGAACTTACCACAAAAAAATCCAAACTGGTACATATGTGACAATTTTACCTTGAATTAAAATTTTAATATTATTTTTTATATTTTTCAAATATTTATTTATTTTTTTTATTTTTTCTTTATCTTCAACCTCTGGCCGGTCGTCGGTCCGGCGACCGGCCAGAGGCGGAAGCCGGCAAGGGCCGCCCTCGCCGGCGTCGGGTGAGGGTCGTCCTCGCCAGATCCCTCGCCCTCGCCAGTATCGGGCGAGGGCCGTCCTCGCCAGATTCAGCGAGGGCCGCCCTCGCCGGTATCGGGCGAGGGTTGCCCTTGCCGGCGTCGAGCGAGGGCTGCCCTCGCCGGCTTCGGGCGAGGCAGCCCTCGCTTGGGCGAGCGAGGACGGCCCTCGCCTGAGTTGGGCGAGGGTCGCCCTTGCCGAGTCGAGCGAGGGCGGCCCTCGCCGGCTTTGGCCTCTGGCCGGTCGCTGGACCGGCGATTGGCCAAAGGTTGAAGTGAAGAAAAAAAAAAAGAAAAGAAAAGAAAAGAAAAAATTCAAAAATTCAAAAAAATTCAAAAAAATTCAAAAAAAATAAAAAAAATAATATTAAAAATTAGTTGGGATAAAATTGTCACATGTGTACCAGTTTGGGGTTTTTTGTGATATGTTCGGGGTAAAATTGTCACAGGTGTACCGGTTTGGGGTTTTTTATGGTAAAAAAAATAGTTTGGGGTAAATGTGTCACAAATGTACCAGTTTAGGGTTTTTCGTGATATTAACCCTTTAAAAAAATAGTATCAATTTTACCTCAAGTGACAATTTTGGTCTAAACATTTGGTTTTGTCTCAATAAAAAACATAAACTTTTTCCCGAGTCTTAAATTTGGCCCCCGTGATATGAAATTTTCAACTTGTTCGGGTCAGAATTTGGATTTAAGTGAAAATTTGTGATTTTTTACGAGACGAAAAAAAATTCGAATAAAAAATTTCACTCATAAGTAAAGTTGGCGTTTGTTTTTTCTTGTGGAAATTAGGCCGATATATATATGGCTCGGGGGCAAATCGTGAAAACCACCAAGGAAACAGTTGTGCAAGAAAGGATCTCTGTAGCAAGTGGCTGCACGATGCTCTCATTGACTTGGGATGGGAACTTTGGTATAAAAGAATCTACCGAGGAGAACGGATGGTGCCAAACGCAAGGCTTTTCTCGCTGACCAGGGAAAAAACAAAAGTGGAAAGCCTGAACAAGAAAAAGAGCAAAAGGACAGAGAAACAGAGATTACGCCCCCCCCGCCCAATGCAAAACATTTACTTCGAGAAAGAGAGAGGAGAGAAGGGAGAAGTGATTCCTATTCACATGTTATAATAAGATGAACAATATGGTATCAAATCGATCAACATTTGTTTCCTCATGTGCACACATCAGGAAAACTTAAAATTGCCGACCCTCATGCAATCACCCAGCAAATTAAAAAAAACGATCCGGCGTACGGCGCGAGATCGGTTTCTATATCGCCAACTGCAAAGCAGTCCCCCATTCGGATCATATGCTCGAGTCGTGGCTCGCACGTTACGCGATCACGGGGTCCAAAACCCTCTTTCCGCCCCCTAAAAGTATTCTAACGCATTCAAAATTTAGCGACTGAAGCTCTGCCCTTCTCGAGCGAAGATCACGTGAGCCCCCACTTCTTCTGTAAATGTGAAAGTAAAAGAAAGGGTGCAGGGAGACCCGCGAAGCTTGTCGGGGTGGTGGGGGCTGACCCCGCCCCCCTGCGCGGTGTTTCCAAGGGCCACCGTGCCCCTGATCTTCAAATGACGTGCTCGCTTTGACCGTATATGATTATTTTCTTTTTGGTGTTTTGTCTCTAAGAATATTCAATTCTTGCTAACATGAATTTATTCCCTAGAGAGGGGATTGGGGAATTAAAAAAAAATTAGCCCGAATGAAAAATTACCCTCTCTTGATTTATTTGCGGGGGCATTTAAAAAAGGGTTGGTACTATGAAAAACCCCAAACTGGTACACCGGTGACAAATTTACCTCGAACTATTTTTTTTACCATAAAAAACCCCAAACTGGTACACCTCTGACAATTTTACCCCGAACTAATTTTTTGACCACCAAAAACCTTAAACTGGTACACCTGTAACAATTTTACCCCGAACTAATTTTTTTGACTACCAAAAACCCCAAACTGGTACACCTGTAACAAATTTACCCTCCGTTAGTTTCTATTAAATTTTACTGTCAAATTGCTAGGTTTAATGACACGTTGTAGTTGACGGGTGTACCAGTTTGGAGTTTTACCCCTCTGTTTATCACAAGTTTATCAATTTGTGGTCGGTCTTTATGAATATTTAATTCTTGCTAACATGAAATTATTCCCTAGAGAGGGGATTGGACAATTTTAAAAAATTAGCCGAAATGAAAAATTACCCTCTCTTGATTTATTTGTGGGGGCATTTAAAAAAATAGGAATGGAAGAAAACAAAAATGTGATGATGAGAGAAGTGAGAAATTGGAGTCGATGCAATGAAAAACCAGCCGTTTTCTCCTCTTCTTTTGTTTTCCGCTATTAGAGAGGCCTCATCTCGGTACCAATACTGGGAAACCAGATTTGATACGCCAGCATGCAAGTTGCAAAGTTATATCGACTTAAAAGGTGTGAATGTTTCGGTGTAAAACTTCTCGACAGAGAAAAATGTTTTTCTTTTTTGTGAAAATCAATTTTCAAGGAGATAATGGCTGGATTTCGATCGTCCGGTGGTGTACTTGAAAGTGAGACGGGAAAAAAGATTTATGATGTTTGGATTTTTGAGAAGTTACTCTCACTAAGCTCGTTTTTTTTTTTAATCGAACTTCTCCAAGCTATTACTTATTTATGAAGTGCATGAATTTTGTGGTCTTTTATTATCAAAATAAAGCAACCTAAAAATAGACGAAAAAATACGAGTAATTAACAAATTTTTTTTTTTTTTGGTAAGGTAAGGATAGTAATTAACAAACTTGATCTCTCAATTCTCATAAAATTTCACCTAAGAAAGGTCCTGCATTGCAAAATAAGTAATCAAAGAGTGATTAAGCATCCAAACGGAAATCACCGAAGAGGAGTGAAAGATCAGTAGAGAGGGAACAGATTGAAGTTCTGCGTGAGCGTCCATGCGGAAAAGGAGTTTGGAAAACGAAATTCTTCTTTTTAGGATGGAAAAATCGTTTTTTTCTATGTAAGTATGGTCGTTTTTATTGATTGTAAAGTGAAACAAAATACACCAAAGTCCGAAAAATCATCTCATGAATTCTTTTTTTTCTATAAAACAAACACATCCAAAATCACACCCGCATCACAACAACAAATTCAGCAAGCAAGCGCCCCGACTCGGAACATGCTTCACGACAACAAAGGTATCAGAGAAAACATTGCAGCAGAAAGTGAAGCAGCATATCGTCCAGTCATGGATAAAACTCACTTATGTGCAGTATAACCAAGCCCTTATGCCAAGTGAGAACCAAGACTGCCCCCTACTCCATCCATTCACCTGCACGATTCGTCATGGAGAAACGAAAAATTGAAGATAAGTTCCTTTTCACTTCAATAACAACATAGTAACAGAGTAAGAAGCAAAGCTTGAACCAACCATCAATTTGCAAAAGCCTCCACACGAAATCACATCCCCCAGTAGCAGCGTGTGGTTACTGCAGGGGCCGAGAACTGCCATTTTCTGGAGTACTATTCACTGGGGTTGTGCTGCCGCTCCTCCTGCTCGAGCTCGAGTGTCCTGTAAAGCTCCGTCCCATGAACTTGCCTGCTTTGCTTAGGCCGCTTCCGACAGCTCCTAGCCCGCTCCCAACGAGCCCCACTCCTGCACCGATGCCGCTGCCAACGAGCCCAACTCCAGCACCAATGCCGGTACCAACCATCCCCACCCCGGATCCAACCAAGGATGCTGCTCCATCGAGTGCATCCATTGCACTTCCAATGACTCCAGCCTCTTTCAGCTTCCGTCTCGCCTCCATGATCAGCTTCTCTTCTTCTAGAGCTGCTAACTGTTCCTCCTTATTGAATATGTGATAGAAAAGCTGAAAGTCCAAACCGGCATAGAAGAGAAGATTAAAAGTCAAATGCACCTCAACGTTACCTTCAAGAAGGGTTATCCAAGCAGCGATGGCACCAGCATCAATTGAGAAAGGAAAAAAGAGAAACATCCTAAAGCACCAAGAAATAGTAAAACTAAATAAGCACCAGAGCTTCCACTTCTACGCTCTCATGGATCCAGAAACTTTATACAGTGGGACAGTTCAATAAATAAAAATGCAAACAAAATTTTAGGTCCACCACAGGTGGAAAAGAGAAATTTGCACATTCATTGTTAGACAAGCAGCATGTGCATTTGAGATTAATTTTCTGACTGTAATTATGTTTTACAATAGCAGTGGCTCAAATAATAACTCGATGTTTTGTGCTTGAAAAATTACAATGTCAAGTAATATTGGATAGATTTTATCTATGTATTAGAAATTAAATCTTTACTTATCTGCTGCAATTCTTAAACATAGTGGCAAGATGGAAAAACTGAAAAACTAGTGAGATAATGACTTGATTAAGTTCTTTTCTTTTTCAGAAATTTTCTAGGGCACGATGTGAAATCCTATTGACAACATAAAATAAATACATGCTTCTTACAAAAATCAGTGGGACAAGTCGCCCCCACTACTAGCCACATAGACCCATCCCTGGTTCGTGCTGAGTAACTCTTTAGTTAAGTCGTAAGATACAAACAGTACCTTAAGGGTAACAGTCCCTCTGTCCTTCTTGTCTTTTATTTTCAACATATCAAGTGATGGAAGCAATCTCACATTGACCTCAGTCATAGTCTCGGCTTCCAACTCAATCAAGGGCAATTTTGCAGTTCCTAACCGTTTGTCTTGTCCAATGTCCTCATCAAAAACCTGTTTGAGAAATCCATAAATGGATTATGGTTTAATACTAACAAATTTTATTTATCAGCATGAACACAATAAGATTTGTGTCTCTGCATCTGCATTTATCTGCGGATCTGAAACAGGTTCCTCAACATAACAGTGACAGCCAAATATTGGTTCACTAGCTATGATTCCATGTTTATTAGCTAGCAAGCCGCCACCTAGTGCTATTTAAGAAGGAAGACGATCTTTTTAATACATTTCTAGCATAGGTAAAAGTCTCTGAAAAAGGAGAGATTATGAGCGGAAAACCGAACAGAGACAAAGCAAACAAGTCAGAACCTCTAAGATTAGTGACTGCGTCTCCTTGTCTTCGACAATCAGATTGAAAGTTTGATCCCAAACTGGATTCAGGTTGTCATCAATAACCTTCGTTTTAACCTTGAAAAGAGGCCGGATGTAAACAACCGTGTACGGGTCAGATTTTCCAATCATCTCCATGTTCTTCAAATCATTTGCTTTTACTACCGTTACTGTAAGCTTGCCCTGTGGCTTCAGTTCTAATTCACTGCATCATAAGAAGGGTAATATTCAAACCAGGAGCAAATCAGTGAATAAGTATCTTCAAGAAAACAAACGCTGGAGATAGAAAAGGCTAGTGATATCTTTTCTTTTATAAGCAAATTGCACAAGCTACTACAAAGACTTATTCCTCCAAAATCAGCATCCAGTGAGGACAAACTCAGGCTAAACGGAGTCTATTGTGTGATATAGCAATTTCTACTTCACTACTTTGCCCTGTAAATGTAAGTCAAGAATACATCTGAACTATCATAACCACCCATAAACGGTAATAACAACTAATACTAGTGCCTGAAATGATGCATATTATCTTCAGCTTTGATATGTAAAATGCCTTTTTTTTCTCGTGATAAACTGATATGTAAAATGCTATATTGAAGAAGTCCTCACACAAAGAAGATAGAATACACCAACTACAAAAAAGGAAAGAGTTAGGTCTCTCTTCACTCATAAAAAAATGTTACAACCTCATAAAATTAAAAATTTATTCATCAACATGTAACCTCTCTCCCGTAATTAAAAAGTCAGTCAAATGTACCAGTAACCATCTGACCAAATTTTAAGTAAATATATATACTCTCAATCTAAAGACCAAGATGAGAAGGCAGATAGCTTATTTACCTTATATCTACAGGTATACCACCTAGCGGAACAACAATCCTGTGGGGCCATTGAAGTGTATCTGTCACAATTGAATTCACGGTATCCTACCATTTGCATGATATTACCAGAAGTCAACCTTTGCAAAAACCCAAGAACAAGTTTAGAGTTCTCTTGTAGCAAAACTCACATCGATCATGTCTGATAGTCCGGGAATGGCTGTGAGGCTTCCACCAACGGCTTTCAGGGTATAGTCAATTCTTGGCTCTGGCTGGTAAGTTGTACAAGATAGTTAGTGACTTTGACAACTAACTACTAGCAAAGTCTTTCTATACAAAAGGAATAGTTCACTGCAATGAAGATATTATTAATGCCCAGTACACTCAGATGAAGGGCAAATTAAGAAAGGGAGAACAAACAATATATCACGAAATGGAATAATGTTTAGTCAAAACCAACTATTCAAATAGACACCAACTTTAATGAATACTCGCAATAATGCATATTTCAATGGAAGATATGTACCTCAGAAAGTAGGGCAGCAACGACAGCAGAAATGCACGGGATCTCATCAGCCAGTTGGAAGATAACACGAACAACAGTGAAAACTTGAAGATCCTTTAACTGGAGCAATTGGTAATTTCCCAAATTAATTGTACTGAACCAATTCCTTTTCAGAAACTAAGAGCTGTGACGAAGATTTGACAGCACAAAATGACAGAATAATACTGTCACTAGAGCATTATTATCTTTAAATAACAAAAATCACGCCACTCCAACCTGAATGGGTATTGACGCTCCAAGTGCAGTTTGTACTGCTAAGACAATGCTGGGATCTCCTCCCCATCGAAAGTCAATATCCATAGTAATTTGACCTTCTTTAAGACTCTGAACACGTATACCTACATTGTTCAATTTACAAATAAAAGAAAGGTGAGCAATAATGCACCCCCCAAAAAACAACATATACAAGGAAATGAAGAAAAGGAATTACAAGAAATTACATTCAACATGAATTACTAATATCTTATACAATTATATAGGTTATGTCATAAACTTTATAGTGACGAATAGGTGAATCTCCACACATCATGTACGAGACATTATAATGGCTGCAAGCTTATGTCATGGCTGAGAGAGCAGCAAATCTAAGTAAATAAAAATGTTATGGAGAAAGGACCCCATATATTTGTTGATTCATACCTTCTATTTTTGGTGCCACGGTTCCAAGAGACAGCTTGCTGAACTTCAATGAAGTTATTCCTGGAGGTCGGTAGTCTTCCAATAATGGTTCAACAGATTCCTTAATCACTGCTGTTGCAGCCTGAGAACAAAGACAAGAATTTTTACTAAAGAATTTGTAAGATTGGGCCATGGTATAATCACACAGCACCATTTCTCTGTTATCGACCCCTTGCCCTCAATTCAGTGGTCAGTTCCCTCTAATATCATTCTCCCCGTTTTCTAGTAGGATTGATCCTTCGGAAGGTAAAACATGCACAACATGCATACCAAGCATATCCAGAGATCCAACTCCAATGTAGGCTGTCATGATTCAAACTGTTTATCAAGCAAAGCAAACAATCTAGATCTGGATTCTGGGTTCAAAAATGAAGCTTCATTCGAAGAAAATTATTAATTACAACATTTAACTAATCTTCAAGGGGACAGACACCATCAGAAGCATGCTGATAGGGAGTTTTCAATGGCTTATACATAAAATTTTCTTTCTCGACACATATCTAAAGATCAGTAAATAAGGGGAGAAAAAGAAAATAACAACCACTGTGAGAAAACATAAGCAAACAGTTCACACACTCAAACCAAGCTAGCTTTGTTCTTGTCACTGGCTGAGAAAGGTTGCATTGACAAAGATCATATTGAGTGTTAAAGCATCACAAGCTTGTGCTGCAAAGTAACAATTCCAAAAATCTTATTTACTAGGAACGAACAGAAAATGCGGGTTATTTTAGTAACGTTCAGATCAGCAAAGGCAAAGAAATAGAACACATTACCTCTGCAACATATGGCCACAGTTTGCTGAGTTGCTTGTTTAGCCATTTAGCCTATGAAAAAGAAGGCAGATACACCATATTATAATAGAACAGCCAAGTGTAAAAAAGAACAAGAATATTAAATGAGTCTGCTTCTAAACAAGTACCATATTGAAGAGGTTCAATTGAGATTCAGAGCAACATATTCTAAAACACAAATAAGTCACTTTATCGACATTTGCAAATCTAAACAAATATATACTTATCCACCACCGCATTGACTAGCTAAGCATTGCATGACTGTTCAACTGATAACTACGAATTTCTTCGAAATGTTTCAAAAGCTTTTCTCTGGTCAACATCTCCTACACGATTATATGATAATAACATATGTAAACATAGGTAATGGACATAACTGACAGAGGAATCTGCGGTTTAATGTAAAGAAAAAATTCCATAAATTTCATCAATCTTAAGAACATGTCGAGATGCGTGAGAGGTGAAAACCAACCTGCTCAAATTCTGGAAAAGATATCCATTCAGGAAAGTTATCACTGCAAATCTTCTTCAAGTCATTTCGATCAAGAGAACCCAGTAGTTTGATATCCATAGCCTGTGAAAGGATGTACAATAGAGCACGATCAATAACTAAGAAAAATCTGGCTTAATCAATAAAAAAAGCCATAGTCAGCGAAGTTTCAGCATCTATAAAAAATGACGACGCATTTTGGCATAAATAGAATGCTAGAACGCCACAATGCACCAACAGCTGAAGCTTGTGGAGGACTGCCAGTTGCCTGTGCTTGATATTCAGGCAAATCAGGTGCTTGATTCTATCTTCCCATGCATGATATTGCGATGAATTGTGAATTTAGTAGCCCCGTGAATACTTCCGCTTCAGAATATCACTTAGGATTTGGCATAAGCCGTATAGGACTGCATCAATTGCCCGTAGTTGGCAATTATGCAAGCCACAACACTGCCCCTCGAGCATTTCACGTTAAGTTAAAACTACATTCTAATTCCGACTTCCGTCAAGCATTTCACGTTAAGTTCATCAAAGCAGCATTAATGGACTGCCTACTATGACCAACTCAAACTGCCATTGAATCAGACACCGATACAACAAAATCCAACTTCCATCCCAACTCCAACTTCTATCTCGCATTATTTCACATTAAGTCCAGCAAATGCAACACGACGAGCAGACGACCGCGATCAAATCAAATCGCCACTCAGCGAAACGAAATCTCCGGCGGGTTTTACCTTGGCAATGCGCTTGGCGCTGCGATACCGCATCATGTAGCTCCATCCGAACATCAGCGCGATGCCGACCACGGTCCCCATGAAAAGTCCCGACGTCAGCCCCATTCTCCTCTCTCTCTCGCTCTCTCGAACCGAAATCTCAAAAGACCGCCAACTTCTCCGAGAAGCCAAGCCAACGCCGCCGCCGCAGGAAACGAATCAAACCAAAGCCGACGGACGTATCGATGATCGGCGGAACGGCGACTTGGATCGGATTGACGGTAGAGGATCGACAAGAAAACAAAGAAGATGAAGAAAGCGATGGCTCCTCCGTCACTCCGCCGTGGACTCTCCGCTCACCGGCTTGCATGAACGACGAGACGGAACGAATCGATGCCGCTTCGCTCCGCCGTCGCTCGCAAAAAGCTCCGATCAGTTTTTCGCCTCCGCGGAAAGGGAATGCGAGTCGCGGTGAAGATGACGAGGGAGGGAAAAAGTGCGGATGCAGAAGATGGAGAAAGCAAGAAGAACACCCGGGGGAAGTGTTTTCTTGTGCAGTTGATTACTTATGGAAATTAATTAATTAGTTAACGGGAAAAGGACACGAACCGTTTCTGAACTTTGACTCAATGTATAATTTGATCTCTAAATTTTTAATTTATTCAATATAATCATTGAAATTTAATCCTATATTCAATGAGGTCCCTAAATTTTTAATTTTTTTAATGTAGACCCTGAACTTTTTATATATATATTCAATTTAGTCCCTAAACTTTATAAAAATGTTCAATGTAATCATTTCATTAATTCAAGTTCATGAACTATATTGTACATTTTCATATAGTTCATGGACTAAATTGAATATGTACCAAAAGTTCAGGAATCACATCGAACATTAGGCTAAAGTTCAGGGATTACATTGAACAAATAAAAAGGTCAGAGATCAAATTGTACATTGAGCCAAAGTTCAGGGACTGTTTTTGTTATTATCCCTTTAGTTAATTGATTAATTTCTTTTATTGGGGGTCCGTATCGTGAAGCGGACGACGCCGTTTTTCCGGGTCACGTAGCCAATGCGTAGAGGTGCCGTGGGGACCGCAGATATCGCCGTTCGTTTTTTCGAATCAAATCCAACGAACTCTCTCGATCGGGTTGACTCCATTTTTGGAAAATACATTTTCTTTTTTTTCTTCTTTTTTGGGTAAATTGAAGTACGTTTGCTTCTGGTGTGCACGTTGACCGCAGCATGCAAATAAGCCTGTCCGGAATTACTTTTTATTTTTTAGTTTTTTTTTTGCTTCTTTCTTTTTAGATTCGTCGGTGCATTGCACATGCACTATGCCCTTTTTCTTTTTTCTTTTTTAATTTTGAGCAATTGAGATTTTGATGGTACAACTTTTGATGCGTAAGTGGATGTTTGATGATTTTGGAAAAACTGAATAATACTTTAAATTTTAAGATAAAAGTAAAAGAAAAAGGGCAAATGTCACCGAAAATCGCAAACTATGCACACTGCGACACAAATACTCTAACTTTTATTTGATTCATCAAAAAACCTTAAACTTGGCCGTTATGATACAAATACCGCCGACATTTTTTGGATCATAAAAAAATCCAAACTTATATCATATGTGATATATATATCCCTCTATTATAGTTCCATCCAATGTATATTTGTCACATTGATATAAGCTCGAAATTTTTTCGAGTCATAATGGGTAAGTTTAGGGTTTTTAGCTACACAAATTTCTTTTTTGGTGATTTGCCTCACAATTGACATAATTTGAGATCTTTTGAGGTATTAATTTAAAAAAAAATTGTTACAAAACATCCAAGGTGTTCTTTTTTGGTGATTTAGGTCACAATTGACATAATTTGAGATCTTTTTGAGGTATTAATTCAAAGAAAAATTTGTTACAAAACATCCAAGGTGTCCTTTCTTTGATGGGTGAAACGACAAGACGTCGTGCTTGTTCCGACCTTGTGTGTTCCAATGCTAAGGAAACGACGAGTTCTAGGGAGCAAACGACGAGCTCACAAGTCATTCGGACAATGTGAAAGAGCCTAAGGAGGCAAAAACCGTCTGTCTTTGCTCGACTTTGAATCCATCGCAAGGTCATCAGGAGCTCCGTAGAGGACACGATTAAGAGGTTGGCTTGAGATGAAGCGGGAGTCAGTCACAATGGCAATGCCTCGATCTCTAATGACATTGATCTTGCTTGATTTCGGGCTATTTCACGGTATCAAGTCGGGCCGACTTAGGGTGCCGTCGGCCGAGCTTCGCCTAAGCGGCCCATCTTAGCTCTCAATCATCTTCGAGTCAAAGATCATTGAAAAAAGGCACACCCCCTTAAGTGTCCTAACAATACGGGAGGCCCCGATGCCTCCCTTATGGAAACGGCGACGACTCAGCTAAGACTTGGTCTTTGTTATTTTGTTCATCTAAGTGGGAAAATCGATTAATGTCACCTTAAGCTAGAAACTGCATGAAACCTAAGCCAATACATCTCTCTCTCTCTCTTCAAAACCTTACAAACTATATATAGACTTTCTTTTACAGAACTGCTACACTCAATGTAAATTCATGAATATTTCAAATAGAGGTGCAAGGGATTCAAGTTACTTCGTGAGCTACTTGAGCTCTGTTGATATATTCGGCTTTTTTTAGGTTCAAGTAGATCGGATACTTAACTGAATCGAGTTCGAACTTGTAAAATAATTCGCTCGACGAGGGCTAGGCCCTGTGCTGCGAGAAGGTCAGGCGAGCTCATGAGAATTGTTGGAAATATAACGCGGAAACGACATGATCTTGCAAATTAAGTCAATGCAAAAATACCAGAGAAATAAACGAGGAACGATAAAGGACACCAGAGATTTACGTGGTTCGGTCCGAATATCGGTACCTACATCCACGAGGAGAGCCAGCAACAAATAATCCACTATAATCGGAGAATCAGAGTTACAAATCGCTCAAACGCTCGAGTGTTTCCCACACCTAGATTTAAGCCAAAACCCAAAGTGTTTATGAATAAACAACTTAATTGGACAAAATAAACTCACTGCACAAATCACCGCGTGTTGAAGCCCAAAGCGAAACACTCTCGTATGATCGAAAAACCAAGAACGACCGTACGTTCTTTTCTTTTGTTCTCGTGCGGCGCTTCTTCTCTGAGGGCTTCCTGGACGTTCGCGGCTAGTGCGGCTCATCTCAATACCCTATTCTGTTCGGCAAAATATATACATGTGGCAGTCCTCCTTTTCTACGTCTCTAATAGAAGAAGTCCGCGTACGATCTGCAGAAGATAAAAGCAAAAGAACCCTTGCTTTCTTTCTTGCTCAAATAATGACTATTTTACCCCCACAAGAGAAATAGATATAATAAAATAACGGCAAAAGAACATTACAAGTGCCATAACTTGTGTACGGCGCTCACTTTAGTGCCATAACTTTTTTTTGGATCACTTTAGTGCTAAAATTTTTGAAAAAACGATCACTTAAGTGCTAAAATTTTTGAAAAACGATCACTTAAGTGCCAACTCTCCTCTTGCATACCAATTTTTCGCGGAAATCCGACGTGGCATTTTTTTATTAATTTCGAAGGCCGACGTGGCTCGCGGAGTCTCGCCGGAGATTGGCACTTAAGTGATCGTTTTTCAAAAATTTTAACACTTAAATGATCGTTTTTCAAAAATTTTAGCACTTAAGTGATCGTTTTTCAAAAATTTTAGCACTGAAGTGATCCAAAAAAAAGTTATGACACTTAAGTGAACGTTTTTCTTCCGACTTGGCACCAAAGTGATCCGAAAAAAAATTATGGCACCAAAGTGAGCGCCGTACACAAGTTATGGCATTTATAGTGTCCTTTTGCCATAAAATAACATGTGCCCATATTTTGTCTTTTAGTGGTCTTCTCTATTTGCGTCGCCGTGAGCCCCACATCCGAAATCAACCAAATTGAAAAGTTAATTTGTTACGCAGGCTTAAGCTCGAGACATAAATTCAACAATTCTCCACCTTGGCTCGATGTTTATAGCCAAGTCATAGTGCTCATCTTTCATGCTGCTCTCCCAACGCCCCGACGGGCGCTCACTCTCCACTGACGCCAATTGTGCTCAAGCAGAGCTTGAGCTTCGCCAAAGGAACATGCTTAGTCATCATGTCCGTTGGGTTCTTCTCTGTCGCAATCTTTTTAACAATAACTACACCCTTCGCTAAGACATCTCGGATGAAGTGGTACCTGATGTCGATATGCTTCGTTCGCTCATGATAAACCGGATTGTATGCCAGATATATCGCACCTTGGTTATCACAGTGTATATCAACACTTTTCTGATCTAACCCAAAGTCCGAGAGCAAACCTTTTAGCCATATCGTCTCTTTCGCTATAAAAGTCAATGCCATGTACTCTGCCTCAGTCGAAGACAAGGCAACGTGATCCTGTAAGGATGCCTTCCAACTAACTGCACCACCTACTAGCGTAAATACGTATCCTGCTAAAGACCTGCGTTCATCCAAGTCGCCTGCGTGATCCGAATCCACATAACCAGTGGCCTCACTGCCATTATTGTCCCTTTGGTACACAATTCCAACGTTTGCTGTCCCCTTCAAATATCTGAGGATCCACTTCACAGCTTCCCAATGAGCTTTACCAGGACGCTTCATATAACGACTAACAACGCTCACTGCTTGTGAAATATCAGGCCTAGTGCATACCATAGCATACATAATACTACCCACTGCACTAGAATAAGGAACACGGGACATATGCTCCTCCTCCTCCTCAGTTTGCGGTGATAACTTATCTGAAAGTTTAAAGTGCATCGCCAAAGGTGTACTTACAGATTTCGCTGACTGTATATTAAATCGTGCAACAATCTTCTCAATATATTTCTTCTGAGAAAGACGTAAAATTCCTACAGTCCTGTCACGCAAAATCTCCATACCCAAAATTTTCTTTGCAGCACCTAAATCTTTCATCTCAAATTCAACACTCAATTGCCTCTTCAGCATAACAATATCAGAGATGCTCTTAGCTGCTATCAACATATCATCAACATATAGTAACGGATATATCAAAGTCCCATCCTCCAATCTCCTATAGTAAACACAACTATCCATCTGGCTTTTGGAATAGTTCTGACTAGCCATAAAAGAATCGAAACGCTTATACCACTGCCTAGGAGACTGTTTCAGCCCATATAAAGATTTCTTCAATAAACAAACATGATCTTCCTTACCTGGAATAGCAAATCCCTCTGGCTGCCTCATGTAAATCCGTTCCTCCAACTCACCGTGAAGAAACGCTGTTTTCACATCTAACTGCTCCAGCTCGAGATCCTGTGCAGCAACTAAGGCAAGTAAAACACGAATAGAAGTATGTCTTACCACAGGAGAGAACACCTCGTTGTAGTCAATGCCCTCCCGCTGTGTATACCCCTTCGCCACAAGTCTCGCCTTATATCTCGCTGCCTCGACACCGGGAATGCCCTCCTTCCGTTTAAAGACCCACTTGCT